CAACTCTTATAATACGAGAAGTCATATAAAATGTGTGGTTTGTGAAACTGTACACACAGCTACTGGGACCTTCCAAGACTTACACGGAGCATAAAACATCACCAACATTGGACCCTTTTCTTTCTTCAGTAGCTTGTTAAAACTCTGAAAAGGAAACATCATCAGCAAATACATGTACAAGACCTCCCCATATGTATGGAACAAGATTACCTCAGGGCTATTCATTACATAAACATATGGAATGTTGGTGATGATGGGGAACTAGGTAGGGGGAGGAACTTATAAATATATAGGTGATTGGACTAGGTGGTGAGGGTAACAAAAATGTACCTCCCTGCTACACTCCACTCCCCATATTAAGTTAATTTCTGGAATAAATATTGTCTTTCATAGCATTATATTCAATACAAACTTTCATTTATTTCTGTTATCTTGTAGTAATTAGTTTGCTTCTTCAGCAGTCAGAACTCATTACAGGATTATACAAGGTAATGATAAACCTTAGTCTAAGATATTTGGTTTTTCATGCATACCTGAAGGTGGTCTACTATCTCATTTCTTTCTCATATATTCTATTTATCAATTACAAACAATTGTAACTTAATACTTATCATTTGGTAATAGCATTGCAATTAGTATAACCAGTATTTATAAAGCCTGATATATAGAATTACTATAGATATTGCAGATTGATAAACCAAACCTATAGGCCTAAGGGATGATAGCCAATCAAAGGAAGTTTGATTTCATACTGCATTGTGATATCATCACCGAGATCGTAAGTCAGATTACCTGAGGGGTGTCAGGGTGTAAAACATCTCCCGCATCAGGTTCCTCTTCCCACGGAATGTCTCCAGTAGGGTCCAACAGGAAGTTTACCATTGACTGAATGGATATGTCACATGTTAACCCAGGTACGAATAACAAGGAGATAAGCAACATTTTCTTTAAACTTTTAGAAATTTCACTGCATATAAAACTTCAATCACAACAACTTAGTTCTAATAAGCCAAATCATTGCAAACAATCAATTGTCCCCAAACTTATAAGAGGATCAAACAGGACCACATGGCAGGCTATGGGTATGTGGTACTTATGTTATAAGCTAAAGGGGGACACTGAAGTTATAGAACACACGAAATTCCCCTTTTGCAGAAGAACCCACATTAGAAGTTGTTTATCTAGCTCTAGATCTGTACACATAGGTTTCAAGAACAATTTTTCTATAGAAACTGCAGAGAAGTTGATTGTAACAGGTATTTTGAGCAACATTTGGCCAATTTATACTAACTTTCTTCGCCATTTTTCTGTCATATTCTTTGTTGAAACTCCCATCTCTGAAAAAATTAAGCACATATTAAGAGATCTGCTATTCCCTCTTTGCATATTGCAGAGTTATCTTCTCTTGTAGGCAGGTATTAATTGTTGGGTTATTGATTTGTGTGAGAAAATTACGTCGTTTTCTCAGAAAATAATGACGTAAATCTCACAAACAAATGACGTAACAATCAATACCTGCTCTCAAGAACAGATAACTCGGCAATACAAAAAGACGGAATACTAGTTTACTTGTAATATTTCAATAGCTTTAAAGACTTCAGTTCCACCAAACAAAACTTATTTTTATTCCTTAACTTAAATTTCTCCACAGGGAAAGTATTGCATTATTGAGATAATTCAACATATATGGGAAACTGGGGCCAAAACTAATAGTCACACTGCATTTTCATGAAAAAGCCTGAGTTATGTTAACCAAATAAACAATTTCTGCAAGAAAACTACTTTCAAATAGCAAAATAATAAATTTGTAAGGCTAAAATAAACACTTATAGAACCATTTGCTTAATCTTAAATTTGTTTCCACAAGTTAAAATATACTTGTAATCTTGCCTGAGCTATGATAATCAAACAATTCCAATGTAAAGTTCCTGTCACACTCACTTAAAGTGCTTTAGTTCCATAGGTTTAGGGGAGGCCTTCTGGTTCTTACATAGCTTCTTGCTTTCACTGAAATATCAAAGTAAACTGATTAATTTCTGTAAAATATACAAATATCCAAGCTACCTCTTCGAAAGAATTTAAGTCCAATCTTATTAAAATAGGACAGTGTTGTAATTTAGCCCTACTACTGATCATACACTCCAACATTAGTACAGAATACTTGTATAGTACTTTTCCAGTAATTGTAATGGAGTGTATCAGTAATGGAGCGAAGTTACAAATGAAATTTTAATCAGATTGAGCGTAATACAAGATCTAATTATAGAAATGGAGCTAAGCACAAATCCTTATGTATGCTGAAGGTCCCACACTCAGACAGAACTATACAAGTTTGGACTTTCATATTCATGGATATAAGTTTAGTCAATATCCAAATTTAAAACAGATATCAAACGAGCAAATTCGTGGAATTTATATCCCCGGCTTGCAGGACATATTGTACACTGTAGGTTAACATTATTGAGGTTAGGTTTAAACACGTGAGTATCGTGCTGTTGAGACATAATCTATAGCTTGAAACTTGAATAAAAAAAAAACTTTACCTCATTGATTATTCGTAAATATGCACTAATCACATCGGTTGGCAAACTTAGCATGAGTCGGATGTGCATACAGAATTTGGTTGAAACATATGAACAGTATCTACAGCAATTATCACACGAAAACCAAAGATGGGTGGAAAGACAGAGGATCACAAACATTGTCATCAAGTTGGAAGGAATTTGGCTAATATTTGCTAGAGTTATTAAGCAGAAACTGCAGATAATGAAGTTTTTCATTATTCAAGGGGCTATATAACTCCGCCCAATGGAGACAGACAGACAGACAGACCCAAATTAATATCCCTCATTTCGGTGAAAGCGGGGGATAATAAATTAAATCTAGAAGACGATCATTAATAGATCCTTGATAAAGGTATACAAACATTGAACAGACAAAGCTTCGAGTTACAGTTACAAATGTATACATCAGCCTGTAATTAAACTAATTAAAGATTGTTACTTATTTTGAGAAATTTTCCATTTCATTCCAGTAATACCAATACTGATTTTTGTATTACAAAACATGCTATTAAACATCCTCAAAAGTACACAATGCTAAATTATCTCTACATGATTGATTCCTCTTTGTGAGCAAAAGAAAATGAAGAAATGCTACTCTATGAATATTTTTCGATCATTTTTAAACAAAAGATAACATTATATATGTGGCAAAGCTTTTTTAAGTATGTGGTTATAGGTCTAAATTAGCTGTGTTATTACAAGGATGTTACTTACATCATCTGAGAGAGAAACATAAATCATTGCAGCTGTAAGATATACCTTTTTATTTGTAAGTAAAAGTGCTTATTGTTCTTTAATGATTGACAGCATTTGACAAGATAATGGGTTTAGTTTGGACAGCTCAGGAATACATAAGAAGCTAAAAATATCCACTTTGGCAAATATATGATGCATAATTTTCTCTAGTTTTGACTGTATTGTTTAATGTTGACAAACAGCACAATATTCAGTCTGCACTGTACAAGTCAAATAACGAGGGGGAATCCAAAGTGTGCTGTGGGAAATTGAATCCCAAAACAGTTTTAAACTAGAACTGTAAGCCAAAGGCTAACTAATACCCTCACTGCTATATAAACCAGAGCTTTAAGTTAAAGGCTTACTAAGGCAAAGCATTGCAAAGCAATCCATAGTCTCCCACAAGTATCAAGTGTTTCGCACAAAGGGGCATAACTTCATCAAAAAGGGTCGAAATCCTAAATTAAAATGCCGGTGCACAACTACGTAAGATACTGATCATTCATGCAAAGTTTCAATGAAATCCACATGTTAGTAAAAGAGAAGTTGCGCGGACAAGTATTTCACAAAAAGGGGCATAACTCCATCAAAAAGGGTCGAAATCCCAAATTAAAATGTTGGTACAAAACTACATAAGATACTGATCATTCATACAAAGTTTCAATGAAATCCACCTGTTAATTAAGGACGAATTTTCTGGACAAGTTACTGCGCTCGACAGACAGACATCCAGACAGGGTGATTCCAGTATACCCTCCCTAACTTCGTTGCGGGGGTATAACAAGCTCTACTTATGTTCATTCTGACCGACATAAAAACGTTCAGGGAGCATGGAGAGTTTCAGCCTACCTGCAGTCTACAAATGCCAGAGTAGCCTTCCCCTTCATCTCCGTAGCAACATCATTGAACAATGGCATCGAGTTGGATACTGCTTTTTCTGGAATAGAAAATCAAAACCTGTTATAGACTAAATGATTACCCCAGTCACAACAGTTTCACATACTTCTTCTATCACAAAAATAAATCATTCAATTTCTGATAACTACCTTATTTATTACAGTAAACAGTTGACAATATACCCCATGTTATTAAATCTTGTCCAGTTCATTATTAATTACAGTAAACAGTTGACAATATAACATTCTACAAAACACCTTACATGATTTATTTATTTTTACTAACAATCTCTTGACTACTTCTTTATTAATTTCTTTTATAATTTCTCAATTATTAATTACTGTGAATGTCTGAAATATAACTTATAAAATAACATCAAATTTTACTTAATCTCTAGACTACTTCATTTGAAATTACTTTAGACTGCAAACATTAAATTTCGTCTGTATTTCATTATTAATTACTGTACAACAATCTACAAGATACCTTTCCAAGTTCAATATATCACTACTTATAATATCGTACGGTTGTTCATTATTACACTCACTGTTACTGTATTATCTATAATTACCAGGAACTGTTAATCACTACACAGCTAATACTCCTAACCTTCATTAAGTAGCATGTACATGTACATACTTTGAAACTTTTAAACTTAAATAAATCAAACAACATTATTCCTTGTAAAAAAAAATGATGAAATCATCCACAAAATTAATGAAAATGTGGAAAAAAAATCTCTATATATTTTACCTGATTTTGCAAATATAACTAAGAGGTTTGTTTTGGTGCGGAGAAGTTTTTTAAATTCTTTCGGATCATCGACTTCTGTGATGAGACCTCCTTTTGTGTTCTTGGCACCATCATGAGTAGGCACCAGGATCTGAAATGATGAAGTCACTATAATTAGAATCAAATAAAGAGCAAATGGGTGGTCGGGTGCCGCAGTGGATAGCGGACTTGCCTTTCACCTAGGCGACCAGGGTGTGATTCCCCGAACGGACGTAAAAAGGTAAGGGGTCACCTACCCGACAACGTGGGTTTTCTTCCGGGTTCTCTGGGTTTCCTCCCACAATAAGACCCCCCGTGCACTTACATCTGGGCCAACAAGAGTGATTAATAAAAGTTGAAATAACTTGTTTCTTAATTGTTGTAAAGTAAATTAAGTTTTTTATTTTAACAACCGATCCTCAGTCACAATGTATAAGAAACTGCTCATGTACAGTATATACTATGTCTGTCTATCAATCTTTCATATGTAACAGGATTTTTAGTATATATGGTAAGCATGTAAGCATGTAAGCATTATTGTACACATTTCTCACTAGAAATAAATCATGGGGAAAAAAACAAGAGAATTTATTTTTAAAAGGAAGAGTGCAAAATCAATTACTATATAGGGTTCATGTTATGTTAATGTGTATACTATAGGGTAAAAGAATCTTCTTCCAAGAAGAGAATTCACATTATAAGAAACTTGTAAAATGTTTACAGGTATGATGATTAATAACTGATGCACATATTGAATATAACCATTAACATGTACAGCTCTCACTGGTAATTCTGAATTAATTCAGAAGTTAATCCAACTAAATTAAGTTTTCAATGGCGATATCTACAACACAAATGAAATATAAAATGTAACTGTAACATGGCTAGATATGAATTATATATGTATTCTTAACTGTAACACAATGCACAATTGCATCATGTCTAACATCTGGTAGAATTTAACTGTAACACCAACCACCTGTATGTTTAACTTGGCACGTATACCTGGTATCCTTAAACTATCCTTAAACATTAAGGTATCTATTTATTATAAATCATATATATAAATTATTTCATTGCTTAATATCTCAAAAACAAATTGTTTGGTACACGTGTATGCACCCATAAATTTACAAATGACAAAATATCGCAGCAGGAATGATCTGAAATACAGGCTGTCACCAAAGGAAAATAAAATCATTTGTAGCCGGATTTATTTCAGGAGCATAAAATGGACTTTTATCACTACCGCATCATATCTACTATATTTAATACTCTTAAAATCCTGACTTGTTACCAATGTTACACATGTGACTAGCTTGATAATCTGCTGTGGTGGAGTGTAACATGTTGTTAAGCCTTGCCTTAAATATTACTGTACTACTGTAGAAAGATCGTGTGAATCATCCATGAATTAAATATTTTCACTTTTGTTTCTGGTAACAGCTGAAAGAAATACGGCTGGTATCGTCAAAATTTCTTCAAGATGGATACACAAGACTTTCAAAAAATTCTCCTTAAAATTTGCATAAAACTTGCTTGTTAGCAGCCCTCCCTACAGATACACAATTTCGAGAAATGATTATCAAAAACAATGCTTTTGATTTGTCATTACAAATTACAATTAAAGGCATTAAGTTGAAAACCTTTTTTCTGGTGACCGTGCTATATATATATATATACATTGTATACCAACGTTTGAATAGACCAACTTGTTTTATTTGTTTGTTGCTTTAATTTAAGTTAAGTTTTCACCATAAAAGGTTTATGCTTTAAACCTTTCAAGTCTTACTCGTATTAAAATGATTTACTGGAATATTACTGTGTTGACTTAACTTATCGTTATCATGATCAGAGATCCAAGGTGAAGGTCACAGAAATGCTATGAAACTTGCTGTGCTCAACAAGGCTCATATAAAAGTACATGTTTATGTGACTTACAATGTACATGACCCTAGATATAGTACGTAGTCCTTAACTAATATAACAGCAGAAACCTAATAGGCCAGCTGGACTCGGGTATGCACATTTTTTCCCTGCATCAATTTGTGAAAAGAGAATAAAGGTTACTTGGGCCAGACTGGTATTCGAATCCAGAACGTCCCGACAATAGAAACAAGTACAGTTGTTCGAACAAACTTTGTCACCTGGCCCAGTCCTGCTTGTAAAACCCAAGACAAAATTAAGAGGAGGTTATTTCAATAAATTGATGTCTATAGTCTTATGAACTACTGCATGTTAACAGCAAGGATGCAAATGGAATCTAAGTAACCCCTGTAAATGGATTACATTGTAATTCATGTGTAACAGATGGCTAAAATTAGAATATGGTCCACTGATTCATCAATTTTATTGATATTACTGGCCAGTAATCTTAAATAAGCATACAATAATGTCGGAACAAATGCCTGCCAGCTTGCGCTAACATACTGAATAATTCCAGATTGATTTTCATTTCACTGAAAATGTGTCAGCTTTTGTGAGTTTTCTTACATTGTAATTATCACTAAAAAAATGACAGCAACAAGTGAACATAGATTTATACAGCCAGTCTGGATGGCTTCCACCATGTTCAAGTCCATTTCCTGTACTTACATAGAATTGGTAGTATATATACAAATGTATATGATAGTTGATACCATTTATCTTCTGCCCATTGTTTAAAGGTCTTGGAACCTGGGTCTTTACCACAGAAATAATTTAGACAGCACTAAGAATGGGTTTATATATATATAATATATAATATATGACTTAAACCCTGATTTTTCCTGATTTTTTTATGCTCAAATAGTTTCAAATAATGTCTCAAGAGCATACAACTTGTATATATACGATATATACATTAACAAAACAAAAGTAGCAACCACAGTCCCATCTGAGCATATATGTGTGAACAATGCTAGGCGATCTCCTAAATAGATAACAAATGTTCTGGAAATGCCACTTAAACATATTTGCATATGTGTATGCAGCATTTTTTTTTTTTAATAAGGAAGTTAATAGCTCTATAAAAAAAAAAAATGTTATAATAAACCATCTGTTAGCCGGAACTAAGTCCTATTAATACTATCCCCTGACTAATTTTCCCATGAATTGATTTTAAAATATATTTCCACTTTAGCCATATATTTACTATATTAAGCTTTATATTATTCTACTGAAATCCTCTAAGAGACTAAGAATATAACCTTAATTTATGGTAAGACTTTATAACTCCTGTTACAAAAAACAAGTTAAGTAAAGGTTTTCATACTTATGAACAAGCGACAGAGAAAAAAATGTCTACAAATGCATGCTTTTTCACTATAATATTTCAAATACAATTAATTGCTTATATACTATATAACATCAAGTGTTCATGTGTCCTCTCTTTCCTGGTTTGGAGCTTTCAAATTATTTCTTGGGTACAAACTCTTGGTTATAGCCCCTATAACCAAATGTATTAACTTTTGCTGCTAGCCATGTGACATAAAATGACAAAGAGTCAAATTCATCATACTTCTCTGTTCTTGTCAATTAATTAAAATAATGATCACACATTAAGTAAATATGACTGCAGTGGGAGTGTTGACATCATGCTAAGAAAACACTGACCTGTTCTTGTGTTGCCCTGTAGGCCTACCGTTTCACTTGATTGGTCACATATATATTTAATTAATCAATAATAAGTTATATTTAAAGGGTCTGGTTGGGGAAAAAATGTCATATTTGCTAAAATGGCATACACATGTTTAAAATACCTTCTTATGAAATATACCGATTCAAATTTTGCTGAAATTCACTCCTTAAGAGTAAAAATTATAATTATATTAAAGAAATCCTAAATCGTCACCTGACAGTCTAAAACTCTCAAATGACCCAGATCAGTGATGAAATTTTAACGCATGCGCGTCATCAACAAGGCCAAATGTAAACATCGCGGCGAAAGAAAAAGATGCATGCAAAAGTCATGACAGGCACGAGGTATCAATACCGTTATATATAACAACAACATATAGGTAGGAATACTACACTTGCATCTTACATGACCTTTGAAAACAATTATTTACTTATAGCATTGCTGTCTTGTCCGCTAGTTCGACATGGCTGATAGTCGGCGTGCTATTGTTGTTATGTTGTTATCTTCACTGCCTCATTTTCGAAACAATCATGTGACATTTATAAATAGATCTGCGCTAAATTTACGCAGGGCTTCCCCGAAGTTTTCAGTGGTCAAAATTGGACATTGCAAGCAGATCTTGACCATCATATTGCCATGGTATAACTTTTGGAAGGCCAGAGAACACATTTGGACCCATTTATTTTGAATTTTTTTCCCCGACCAGCCCCTTTAACAATAGATTGAAAACAAATGTCCATTTAGTTAAAAACATGCATTTATTTTTAATGAGTTCAATTATTTAAAATATTCGTTTATGAACCGCTGTGTCAATGTCAGATGGAAATTTGAAATCGGTACAAATAAACTAGAATAGCAACACTGTCTGATGGAATACAGAATTGCCATGAAAATGCGTACATTTTAGAGCTACAATTACTTGAGTACATCAGTCGTGAAGCCAACTCCAGCTGCTTGGCTCGTTCGACTTTTCATTGTCATAGTACTTATCCTATCTATTTGTCTAACAGGTTTGACATGTCACGCCTGACAGATCTTTTAACTGTGCATCACATTTACTTGTACTGCGAAAATGCCTCTGACTAAGACTACAGTCTACCGGTATCGATCACACTATAGTGTGTTGAAACAGGTGTCGGTTAAGGACGTTGGGTAATTACAGAATTAACAGTAGTATCTTTACATAATAGCATGTGTACTGTTTTGCAACACGTACATATGATCAATAATTATCACTCAAGATTTGATAGAAAAATACTTGACGATCTATAGGACCAACCTCAGATAACTCATACCACATATTCCTCGTACTATTGTGGGTGTTTACTGTATATATTGTAAATATTTTACAGGAAATCACTCAACCATGTTATTCAAGTAAATACACCAGAGTTGAACACACAGTTCTGTGTACACATGACAGTACACCCTAATGCTGACATACACAGCTAAAAAGTGCCTGCCAATCTGATCATGTTAGGCCATTGGACCACATTCAAGAAGTTTGATAATTATGGGTACTGGGAATCATAACATTTTTTTAGCATATTCATGCTATTTGTTGAATCGTTCAGAATCTTTTATGAACTGTTACAACTTAACTTAAGCTTACAATGCTAAACGAGTTTGAGTAAATTTTAGTATACGACTAATTACATTTTCATAATAACATAACAGACTTGTCATTTGTGTTAGACCTATAGGCCTACTTTCGTTTTAAATCCATATCAGTGTTGGACATTAGTTCTGGGCTCACAATTTGTCTTCCGTGTGCAGCTTCCTTGTAACATATAGCACTGTAACCGAATAAAGATACAGATGTTTATAGCGAGACATGAAGTGACTAAGAGTTTTGCTACGTAACACAGATCCCTTCAGGTGTCATTCTACCTGATTGCCTCCATGTGATCTGTCACCCGTGCTCTTGTCGACACAGCAACTGCAACATGGCGACCATCCGGCACCGGCTAGTGAAAGCGAATAGCTACGTAACTAAGACTAGTGCATACCCATATCACATTTTCATAATACCCAATCAAAGTATGCAATTTGTTCAATAAACAAACAGTGCTCAATTGAGGAGCAAGACTGTCAAAATAAACACGAAAACGGTCACAAAAATGTGGAAGATTACCACACTAGGCCCTTAGGCCTACCACAGGGATGCCGAAAATTCTTTGGGTGTCGTCCCAACACATCTAAGACACCGTTTCGTTTTTTTAACTTCCTAAGTAACCGGTTTTGTACTAGTTACAAGCCATTTAGGTATTCAAGATTGATCTGCACTCACCAACAGCAAAAACATTGTCCAAAGAGGCGAAGGTAGGTCCATCATCGTCGCTATCCTCGCTGCTAACACACACGTGCCACGTAAAAATGACAACACATGGGAAATATATTTATGGGATTGCTACATGATCGCAACTTAGTGAATAAAAACGAAACGCAACAAGCTGGTGAGTACCTGAGAAATTTTGCACCGGTTCGTACAGGTAAAGATAAGACGCCTAGCCTATCAGTGGAAAAGAAAGATATTGCTTCAAGATATTAACAGAGCTAAGACATATTTGGTTAAAACGGCCCAAGGTAATATCTAGACCCAAGTGAAATCGGTCCAAGTTAAAATCGGCCCTATATATGTATCTATTTGTTAAATACATGTGATACATTTATAACTACAATTATATTTAAATAAATATATTCAGGGATTTATTTTATTACTTACATGTGTTGTTGTTTTGTTCTAATTGCCTTACACTGTTGTTATAGCTGAGTAGCTCAGAATTAACTCTTGAGTACCTCATCACCGCCTCAACTCCAGGTCGCCAATCAAATGTATTCACGCAATTTGTGATAGATATGATTGATTTTCCTGGACAATCACTTTCAATTGACTTACATCAATTGAACAACGATCGATCCACTTTGCACCTAATCATCATGAGCGAAAACTGCTTATATTGTGACCTTGTGGTGAGGCCGAGGCAGCATGCGTTGCAGTGCGACGGATGTAGCAGATGGCAACACAGGACTTGTAATACTGGTAAGTAATTCAAATATAGTTTCCATACAAAATGCGAGAATTTCTTTCGGCCATAAAAGACATACATTCTTAATCGTTATTAAAGTAACTAGATTTCATTAGAGTGTATATAACAATAATATAATGAAATGACGGACAAATAGTCTATAATGAAATCAAGTTTATGTATATTCCATTTATGGCCGAAATATCGTTTCATTTGATACTAGCGCTCGAACAAAATACATGTACGGGCACTGAGTATCTAATGAAATCATGTTTCTCTTAAGCATGTACACGTATGTCGATATTTATGTCGGGGGGGGGGGGGNTATAGTTTATCACAGGAATTAATAGAAGAATCTATCACTGACCAGAGGGTGAGATATTTTTGAGGTTTAGCACTCGGCTTTAAAAAAAATATCTCATCCCGAGAGATAATGTTGTTATGAATAGGCGATTGGACGTAGAAAAGGATGATGTTGAACTTATATTGTTAAAACATGTTTAAATATCTTAGTGGAAGTTGGTTTTTACTTTTGATATCGTTTATTTGTTGTTAATAATCATTTAACTTTAGTATTTGTTTTTCATAGGTATATGGACGGGACACGCAGCTGGGGAGTGTTCATGCGTTCCTACAAAAGGACGAATGTTTGAAGCAGATGCCGCTACTATTCGTCTTGATGTCTCGACATCGAGCACAGGACTACATTGCTTTAAGTTATTACAATGAAATGATATAGAATAACTTGTTATTTGAAAAGACTAATAAAACATACCCAGAGATACTTTGATTTTATTTTCCAATCAGCTAAAGCGGATATATATAAAATAACAAAAAACACTCTACACATATTGACATTAGCTTTATTCGTCATAATTAATCAGTTCTTCCTTTATAGATTCTTCGCCGACTCTTGGAGGAGATCCGGCAGTGGAGGGGGCAGTGATGGACTTTGAGACAGATAAGTTTGATGAAAAGCAGGTGTAAAAAGTTGCAGTACTAAACATCAGTGAATCTTACATGGAAATAGTTATTCGCTTATGATTTTTGGGTGACTCGCTAACGCGCGGTCATTGTACTACTGTGTACCGAAATTCTTGGGAGAGCAAGTGGTCTGAAGCTCACGCTTGATAAAACGTGAGCTTCAGACCACTCGCTCTACCAAGAATTTCCGTTCGATCCCCAGCGGTGGTAGAAAAAAGAGAGTGATGTCTGATAGGGTTAGTTGTTATCCCTCCGATGGCACGTACGGTGGTTTTCCCCCCGTAAACACCATTTGTTCCCTTAGCGGCGTCGTAATAAAAACTCTACAGAGCTTATGTTTGTTGTTGACAATTGTACACGACGTTAAATAAAGATTATTTTTATTATTAAATTCAACGTCATTAATAAATTGTCAAAACTGATTGTGACCTAACTCATAAAACTTTTACTTGTTACATCTCTCTTTTCATTTGAGCCTGTTGGAATGCGGTCAGCACCGATCTTCCAGGAGTGGACCTTCGGGGTGTTCTTTCCACTGGTGCCAGGCTGTAATGAGGAAGGTGGTGAACCTCGGACTAAGGACAACGTATATGAAACGTGAAGGTACGTATGATGATGATGATGATGATGATCGATGAAAAATAATGTTACAATTTACAATTTAAGGTTACTGCGGTATGTGTTGGTGTCAACGAAACAATAAGTTTCACCTAGAGTTTCATATTTGTTAAGTAAATTAAACATGTCACGCCATTATGTGTTACGTCATTATGTATGCAATGTAGGTGCCATACTTAGTATCCTACTGATTGGTGTTTCAGGTGTTTACTGCTTCACCAGGAAGCTCCTGGCACTTCCCTTCCTGCCTGCCACCGAGATCGAGCCAGCCTTCGCCCGGATGTTAGCCTTAGCATCTACTCCAGAGCTGCGACAGTTGGTAGAGTATCTGCACCGGGTCTGGTTCCACGTACAGCTCAGTTTGGACTCCAGCCAACTGGTGTATGTATCGTCAGTCAGTTCGCACCATAAGAATTTTAAAACTGGTGCAACAATTAAGGTAAACTAACCAAACCTTTAACAGATTTTATATTTAGTCAAAATGACAAGCTTCGTATATGTTAATTCATTACGAATTTACGTGAAAATGTATAATTCCACTGGCAATTTTAAATATAGATTCTACATGAAATAAAATTTTGTGTTTTGTGTACCTATGATTTGATAAATTTTATCATTATGATTTCTTTTTACAGGATGGCACCGCAGGATGAATGGTAAAGCCGGCCGACCAAACCTCCCCTTCTACCTCCTGGTCCCTCTCATGAAGAAGGAAGGAGAGATCGTCAATCTCCAGAGCAGGGGAAGATATTTGACCTGTGGGACCAGCTCGACTCTCGGGATCCGGACAGTCGCCTGACAACATCGGACTTTCTGAGGAAGGTTGGCGCCATCTACGCAACCAGAGAGTGATACAGTCATAGAAAAATTATTTCGGACAAGGACAGACAATATTTATTGGTGACCTATAGATATTATAAAAACAATTGTGTTTTCTGATTGTAATAGGACAACTAGTGTTGAATAATGAAATAGTGCGGTGAATAGGATTTATAATTGAAGTTCGAGGAATTTGGCAATTAGATCTACACAGATAAAAAGAAAATACTACTACAGCAACATTTTAAAATATCGTATAATGGTTTACCTGTTTTTTCGAGAAATTATTTGACGAAGAATAAAACAAAAGGTCCAGAAGGGCCTGTATCGCTCACCTGTTTGTTTTGTTACATGGAGTTGTTGGCCAGAAGCGGTTGAAGGTTTACAGTTATTTGGCCCATGTGACGTGGAAAGTATATACTTAGGGCAAGGGCATATTCATGTGCAAATGTTGTTGAACTCGAAGACAGGATGCTGGTCGGGGAAAAGGAGCAGGACTTAACACGTTTTAAGTCGTTTGAATGTTTTGACCTATTTAATCCCTGTGGCCTTGAAAGTAGGCCAATGTCATTTTCAATCGCAAACTTTGTCGGGCTCCATCATAGGATGCAATTGGCCAAATGTCATGAATCTATCCCTTTTAGATCTTCAGAAGGAGTCGTTTGAAGGTTTAGACCTACTTGACTCCTGTGACCTTAAAAGTAGGTCAAAGTCATTTGCATTCGCAAACTTTGTTGGGCTCCATCAGAAGATGGATAATAACATCGCCTCATAACACCATTCATAATCCTCGGTTATTTTAATAGTCATAATAGCCCGTGGGGCTCTCCAAACGAGTCCTTTCTCACACTGATTGGGGAGCGGACCGTGAAATGCTTTTGCGCCTATACAGATCACTTATTCGAACAAAACTGGATTATGGTTCTATATGGTATACGGGTCGGCGCGCAGTTCTTACCAGCATATGTTAGACCCATTCCATAACCAAGGGCTACATCTAGCACTTGGAGCTTTTCGAACAAAACCTGTAAAAAGCCTGTACGTGGAAGCGAATGAACCATCCCTTTATGACAGAAGGAAAAAACTTGCATTACAGTTTGCAGCTCAATTAAAATCAAACCAAAAAAATCCTGCTTTCGACCAAGTATTCAACCCAAAATACCAAAACTTATTTACGCAAAACCCAAAACTTCTGCCAACATTTGGTATCCGAATTTCAAATTTCCTGCAAGAACTCAACATAAACTTGACAGTGACATAGCTGAATTTAACATATCTGATGTTCCTCCATGGACCATACAAACACCTGATTTTAACTTTACATTACATGAGCGGGGGGAAAATACAGTGTAATGCCAAAAGAACACAAATCCACCTTCCGGGAATGCATTTCGGAATAGCCTTCTCATACACAACTTTACACGGATGGTTCCAAAGAAGGTGAGAAAGTGGCACTTCTGTTCGACTACCAGACGGCGCCTCGATATTTTTTGACGAAGCATGCGCTATTGCATGGTTTGGCCTTCGACCATATCGATGAACACCGCATTAAACAGGCAATCATTCGTTTAGACTCTCTATCTGTCCTACAAAGTTTACAGTTACGAGATCCAAAAAACACACTCGTGCAAAACCTTGCTTTACGAATATCTCGCATCTTAAAAAAAATCTAAAATAACTTTACTTTTGGATTCCGAGTCATGTCGGAATTAAAGGCAACGCATTTGTTGACGGGGAAGCAAAAAATGTGCTAAATCTCGAACAAACAAATATCAAACTACCATCTCTCGAAACCAGCAACAAACTTTTAAAAGTACAACCGAAACTTAAAACATCTGTGCGGAAAGATCGTAGAGAGGAAGTTGTTCTCTCTCGGCTCCGTACTGGGCACACATTCTAAGACGAGGAGATCCACCTTCGTGCCACGCATGCGACATTAAATTTACAGTGGAACATATTTTAATAGAATGTTCCGATTTTAAACACATTTCGTGATAACTACTTTCGAGTCCCGGATACGAAAACTCTTTTGAGTTCCGTGGACTCGAAGGCATTATTTAACTATTTGAAAGACATCGGTCTATTCTATAGACTTTGGTGTCTTTTAACCCACCTTACCCCCTTTGACGATATATAAATAACATAGTCCATATCATCTATTCGTTATCTCTTTTATCATTTTTAACCCCCTTCTTATTTTAATTATCTACACATACAACGCGAATGCTTTTAAAAATGAACATTTTTATGTGATTTTATCTTCGCCACTCACATGTTTGTTTGGAGAAAAAAAGAAAAAAAAATCACCATGGCCCTAAATGACCACCGCCGTCGATGGGCCGTTAAACACAAACAAACATAAATAACATATGTTTTCCCCCTGTGGTGTTTCGTTATTTGAGTTTTTTATAATTGCTGAGTTGTGATTACAGGATTTTAAATAACGATTGATATTTCAGAATTTCATGTAACTCCTCCTACATTTTTATAATTTAGCTATTCTTCTTTTGTTTACCCTTTTTATATTTGTTTCACAGTTCCTTAACTTTCCACTGACACAGACTTAACCGTCTTACCTCATCATACATTTTGTTCATTTGAACAGTAGGCCTAGGCTCCGTCCTGTTGCGGCCGTTACAAGTAGAAACAAACACTTTCAATGTCATGACTAAATTCAATTTGTGGATTACACACTTGTCATTACAAGTTAGTTACCGATACGTTCTGCCATCATAGAGCTGACATTTACATAATTATGAAAATGAAAAATATGGTATGAAAATGTGAAGATTTATTATATCAAAACCTTTGCTGGATTTGTCTGAGACATTTTTGAGTGACTTTCACCCGATCAGAAAAGTCTCAGATCAATAAACCGACTAGCACAGACCATGCCATACAGCAAATTCATATCATTCACTAGAATGACTCCGAAGTGTGTGGCAGCTAAGGAAGCCATCTGGATACACCGCATCGGACTAGTTCATAATCGAGATGAGAGGGCTCATATAGACTCTAGCACATTGATGACCAGGTGTTATACAAACTGAATTTGTCGGTTTGATTCATCATTTCGTACATGTGTGTACATGCGCTTATAGCGTAGCCGAATCGACGTCGATTTCATATTGCCAACTCGCACATATTTAACATATTTGTGTACAGTCTGGTGAAGGTGATAGAGTATGTAGCTTACACTTATCTGACTGTGCTACATAACTTCTCTACAATCTATGCTTACTAAACTGAATAAAATGTTTTGAAACGACTATAAATCTGATTAAATGTTACAAAGAATGGTATACATAGTGATACGTTCGGATAATGGCTTGGTCTAGCAACTAGAGGAGCCAGCGATAACGTTGTTTATTACGGACTATTGAGAAGTTCATGAATCATACGCAAACAAGGCAGGTCCGCATCATTATCATTGATAGATATTTGAAAATGATTAGAGAGTCTTTAGTCTTACGAAAAATTGGAAAATGTGTAAGTATGGTTTCTTTATCAAGCCAAGTCTTATTTTTTCAGCAAGCAGTAACAGTGTTTTCAGACAAACCTTATTGTATTATTCCTTTAAACAAAGTTGATATAATTTCATTCAAGCATGCTTATTTCCAGATATCTTCACCAATGGCCTCCTCGTTACTTAGAAGCGATTCGAATACTTCATTATTTATCTTTGTAACCTTTAACGTTGGATCAATGTCATTCATTAGAACAACCTTGAAACCCTTTATCAAAGCATATCTATTTGATTAACTATATTTATCCTTGGCCTCTTGGTTATTTATACGAAGTTATTAAAAAAAAACACATTTGAACTTGAGAGTGGGTCAATTAAGATAATTTACTGAAAAAAAGACATATAGCCTTTCAACTCACCATGCTATTCGTCAAATATCATCACGATTGGCCTATCAATATCCATAGAATTCTCCTCTTTCCATCTCTGTCAATATCCATGGAATATTTCCCTATCAATATCAACAGAATGTTTCCCTATCCATCTCTGTCAATGTCACTGACAGAATTATTCCCTTTCGATCCTCGCCAACATCCATAGATTTCCTTCCTTTCCATCCCTTTCAATATCCATAGAATTCTTCCATATTCATCCATGTCAATATCCAGAGTTCTTCCTAATCAATCCCAATCAATATCCAGAATTCTTCCTAATCAATCTCTGTCAGAATCAAGAGATTGGTTCCTATCAATGTCTATATCTGTAGGATTTTTCCTTGTTTATCCTTGTCAACACCAGAAGAAAGTTTAGAGAAAGTTACCCTACCTATCCCTGTCAATATCTAGAGAAAGTTACCCTATCCATCCCTGGCAACATCTAGAGAAAGTTGCTCTATCCATCCCTGTTAACATATAGAGAAAGTTACCTAAGCCATTCCTGTCAATATCTAGAGAAAGTTACCCTAGCCATTCCTGTCAATATCTAGTGAAAGTTACCCTATCCATCCCTGTCAATATCTAGTGAAAGTTAACCTATCCATCCCTGTCAATATCTAGTGAAAGTTACCCTATCCATCTCTGTCAATATCTAGTGAAAGTTACCCTATCTGTCTGTCAATATCTAGTGAAAGTTACCCTATCCATCCCTGTCAATATCTAGTGAAAGTTACCCTATCTATGTCTGTCAATATCTAGTGAAAGTTACCCTATCCATGCCTGTCAATATCTAGTGAAAGTTAACCTATCCATCCCTGTCAATATCTAGTGAAAGTAAACCTATCAATCCCTGTCAATATCTAGAGAAAGTTACCCTATCCATTCCTGTCAATATCTAGAGAAAGTTACCCTATCCATCCCTGTCAATATCTAGTGAAAGTGACCCTAGCCATCCCTGTCAATATCTAGTGAAAGTTACCCTATCCATCCCTGTTAATATCTAGTGAAAGTTAACCTATCCATCCCTGTCAATATCTAGTGAAAGTTAACCTATCCATCCCTGTCAATATCTAGTGAAAGTTACCCTATCCATTCCTGTCAATATCTAGAGAAAGTTACCCTATCCATCCCTGTCAATATCTAGTGAAAGTTACCCGATCCATCTCTGTCAATATCTAGTGAAAGTTACCCTATCCATCCCTGTCGATATCTAGTGAAAGTTACCCTATCTATGTCTGTCAATATCTAGTGAAAGTTACCCAATCTATCCCTGTCAATATCTAGAGAAAGTTACCCTATCCATTCATGTCAATATCTAGAGAAAGTTAAACTATCCATTCCTGTCAATACCTAGTGAAAGTTACCCTATTCATCCCTGTCAATATACATAGAATGCTTCCCTATCTTTCAAAAATATTAATAATATATTACAAATATTCTCATCCTTCCCCAAAACCCACAGAATATAATTCATCGCTTAATCTTTCCTTTATGCACATATGTATGTAAGCTATTTGATTGGTTTCAGGTTTAAAACACGTTTTAAGCTTACTAATACCAGACTGATACCTGTCCTTTGAAGATTTTAGAGGAGCTATACCCACCATAAAAGCCCATTGATGATACTGTTTACGCTGCCACAAGATTCCTTTGATCTTCATTGAAGATATCCGACTGGTCTACTCGACTCATCCACAAGGTGTCTTATAACCAGACTATGATTTTGTTATGACATTTTCTGGGGTTGCAGAGAAGATGTGTGTTGAGAATGAACTTTGGATTATGAGGATGCAGGTACAATGAATTCTAGGTCTGCTTAATAAGTGTTTGTTGTGTTCCTCTGTGAAATGTTCAATTAATTGCTTTGGCTTTCTGATAAAGTGTTCTTGAAATTTATATCAATGAGTATTTGATTTTTTTTTATCAATGACTGGATGTTTTAACTTGTATCTGGAACCTCTTCAAAAATATTATTGATAATAAAGTTAGCTGAAAACAGACAAATTTACTTAAAGGTAGCGACAATTTCATTATTGTTTCAAAAACCTGATTTGACATTCTAGGTATCAATGTAAATTTTTATTGTTCTTCAACTTTTTGTAACTAAAAATTAAAACAAACTTCTACAAAAATTTGTTTCTTCACATGTCCTGTCCAGTAAATCTTTGACTGAAGAGTTGTCTTCCCTTTACATAGCAAACATAAGTTTTCAAACAATATTACTTTACAATAAAGGTAATACAAAGCTCCGTATTATTGTTTTATTTTTCAAACCACATTCTGAACACCATATTTTCTATCAACAATCGTGTAGCAAACCTTATTTCCATTTACACGTACTCCAAAATTAGATGCAAGATGAAAGTGGAAGATAAGCCTATAAAGGGACTTTTACCCTAAGTTTATTATTCTAGATTGTCACTTTTAAGTTTGGTTGATAGTGTCCTTACAAACATCCTCCACATGCAACCAAGACTGGATCATCTGATGTTGTTTATAAACAGTCCTTCAACATCATATAAACAATATCTCCCGACAGTATTTCTATAATAATTACATTGTACACTATAATGAATTCACAATCAGGCTTCAACTGCTGATCAATTTTCCTGTCATGAGTCTGACCACTTTTTCTTTTTCTTATCAGCATCTATGAAATCAGAGAACCACTTTGGTCTAGGTTTGTCCATCTGTACAATAAATTTATCATGTAATTTTTGTTGTTGATCTTCTTCGCCTTCATAAATCACTGCTACTTCCTTGTGTGGTGATTCATACTCAAGGTGGTCGCCCATCTTCTTCCTCATCTCATCGGTCTCCTGTCGCACCTTGTCATAGCAGTTACCTGTCATTAGACATTAAAGTTACCTGTCATTAGACATTAAAGTTACCTGTCATTAGACATTAAAGTTACCTGTAATTAGACATTAAAGGAACCTGTCATTAGACATTAAACGACACTTATTAACAACTTTGAGTCAATGATAAAAGTAACTAGATATAATTTACACACAAAATTGACTTCAAATTTTGAACACCAATAAATTAAACAAAAGGTCTGAGGAGCCTGTTTCGCTTGCCAGTTATTTATGCAAAATAAAAAAAAGTGTTTCCAGTAATCCTATACTACCTACCATAATTTTTTTGTGCCTACCATAAACTGTTTTAGGCAGGTTTCATAGAAACACTATTAAAGTCAAGGTCACTCTCCCATTTAAATCATATAAAATCATTTTATTAAAATGTAATTTGTTACCTACATGTTTGGTTTGTGTGTGTTTTACATCCTATAACAGCTATAGTGATTTAAGGACGTGCCAGGTTATGGTGGTGGAAGAAAGCCGGAGAGTTCCCAGAGAAAAACCACCGACCTACGGCCAGCACTTGGCGACTGCCCCACTTAGGTCTCAAACACACGACCCAGTGGTGGAGGGCTAGTGGTAGCAGAATGTCAGACACCTGAACCACTTGGCCACCATGGCTCTTGTACGTATACCTATCCTATTTTTTTTCAAATTAAATACTTTTTTGTTTGGCCTTATCAACAGCATTGGCAAAATATAGCAGAAAATTTTGAAGATAAACAAGATTTGAAAATATAATGGCTGTCTTTAATATATAGATTTCTCGCAATAAATGTATCTTGAAAATATGCTGGATTAGAAAATAATAAAAGCCATCTAGAAATTTGCAGACATAATTTGAAGACATTATATATATAAAATGGTAAAAAGAGACCAATGTACCTTAACAGTCGTCTTTAATGAATGTAGTTTTTTTGTTTGTTAAAGGACAAAAGTAACTTTATATGTGCAGGTAATAAAAGAAGCTGATATAAAAATCTTCTGTAGTTCTCTATGACTACAAATAAAAAGATAAAGGTCGTTGTCTGAAAAGCCTTTTGGATACCCACTATAAGTATCCTGCAATTTGCAAAATCATATTTAAGTTGGTGCAGCTGTTTTTGAGGAAAGGAAAAATGTGAATTGTTTACAGACGAACGATACACCATGTACATATTCTAAAACAATTGGTACGTCACAGTAATTAATCAAACTGTAGCATACTTTAAGAAATGACTAACTGAGCCAAAATCTGAAGTTAACTAAAACAGTCTTCAATTTTCACTAGCTCTGAAGTAATTTTCACTAGACCACTTCAAATTCCCTATCAAATTTTCAATAAATTCCTTCCCAGATTTGTGTTTTCTCTGGCAATTCTCTATTGTCATTCAGACTCTCACATTTTTTTGTAAACAAGGAAAAAGGTTTACCTCATACAAAATGAATGTACTGTTCCACTGTACTCAATCACACATTAACCCAGACAGCTTATATATAATTATAGTCTTAAGAAAGAGGGTTAAAACATGCATGATAACCTTAATTAAATTAGGGGACAATCAATGCAAAATACCATGTACTGTACATGCTGTCATTTAGTATTTGGTTTATAGGACTTCCTACAGAGTACATAAGAGAAAAATCTCACCACATATCGTGTTGAGCTTGTGGAAGCTCCCGCAACGTAAACAAGACACTATATCTTTATGGATTTTTACACGTTTTTCTACAAATGAGTATCCAAATCTTCGAGTTTGTCTCTTTTCTTTTGACCTGCGAGACCTTTGGGTTTGATGTGAAATCCACATTATTCCATTTCCACCAAATAACTCTCTCAGGAAGGATGAATTGTCTGATGGTATAATGTCCGTCTCCTCAGGAACAACTGGACCTCCAACCAAAGCTGGCAAAAACTCTGACGGATAAAAAACAATATTGGTAATTGGCAAAGCTAAAATGATCTCTAATTATCTAAACTATAAATGTTTTGTCTGATCAAATATACATTTATATAAAGTCAGCATGACCTCACAAAGCTTTATCTCAAATTTAATGTTGATACATATGCGTACAAAAATATCAGCTTAAAATGTTCCTGACAAGTACTACACCAATTTGAACTGGACTCTTTGCTGTGACTTCCACATGCACATTAATATTGAAGATATAGACCTTTGATCATGATGTTTCCTACTCCAACAGTGTTAGAGGTTTACACGGTGAGATACTTTTGACAGGCGCCGCAGTCGGCAAAATCATATCCGATAGCAAAAAGGCCGACCAGTGGTCACTTATGTTATATGAGTATAGATGTTGCCTAGTTTTACAACTGAATACAGAATGCTTCCCCTTGCAAAAATAAAAGTGCTTTATTTTCCCAGAATGAAAAAAAAATGAGGAATATCTTTTCAGTTTAAATGAAAATAATGCAATATTTTCCCAATTCATGTAGGAACAGGTTGTTGTAAAATCTAAATTTGTTGAATAACAACTCGTGCATAATTTAATTTACACCTTTGAGAATTAACATGCGCCTCACTATTCATTTGTCTGATGAAGGTGACATATATAGTACATACTGTACTTGTCATCGAAACGTCACATAGAAACACTATTGGTTGTGTAACATGAATCTTTTCACAATCCATACTTACCATTCTGAAGGAAATGTTTAGAAATATCAGTGTTTGGTAAATGACATTCTGTCTTGTACATTTTTAAATATTCATATTTATCAAAATTTCGATACAGTGAGGGAAAGCATTATATAACTTTATTTTTTGACATTTGCTGTGACATTATACATTAACTTGTAATGTACTGAAGTGTTGATGAGCATTTCACCCCTACAAGACATTTCCCTCTCCTGAGAGTGTTGCAACAATAGTGCAGTCATTTTATGGTATATTTAGTCTGATCACATTAAATCTTGAATTGACTGCAATCAATATAAATAAGACCATTCTGTGTAACTGCTTAATAGTTATCATTAGATTACTATCCGATTATCAATTTTGATTTTAAACCAATTCGGCGATTTATGTCCAGCACTTATAACAAGTTAGTTTTGTAAACTCGAGTTAAACTATTCCAAGTCGTTTCGANATACTTTCAGGACAGATAAACCTTCGATATTTTACATATATCTCCATTGAATGACAAAGAAAGTATATTTTGGTCCATTGTCTTGAATTGAGCGTATTTAAGGTCCATATTCCTCCGTTTCGGTAATGCAGCGCCATCGAAAATCGTACCGTGAATCTCGGCTATTGCGCGTCTTTAAATGATAAATAAAAAATATTTCCAGTCAAATTTAACTACCTATCTGTTACATGAAGCANTCTTCTTTTAAATGCGACTTTGTTCCGTTTTTCTTATAAAAGAAAATCACTTGAAAACTAGCTCAAAAGACCTATTTCAGATAGGTCAATAGAGCTATTATAGGTTTTTACAGCTATATAGCTCAATCGGCAGAGTGTACTGGACCTGATGATTATAGGATGTTTCGGTACTTTTGCAAAGACGAAAAACAGCAACGCGTGAACGGACAAAAATACCAAACATAGCAAAATATCGAAATTTTATTGCCTTTTCAATTGTTACAGTTGAAGTTTCGGGAAGAACCGACCGGTTGGGGTATTTACCGAAATGGACCGCNGTAATTCAACTCCATTCCGGTCCATTTCGGTAAATACCCCAGCCCAGAACCGACCACGTAAAGACTACAGTAAAGTAATGTTACTGTACCGAAAAATCTTTAGCCCCAAAATCGGCCACGAGCAGTCAAGGAGATCGTATATATTTCACAGTCACTTGTTAAATTTATTATGAAACGATTGCATTATGATAATGGAAAGTGAAAATATGTCTTACGATATTGTGACACTGTCCATCTTAGAAATAACGAGTCTAATTGCTTCCAAGCTTTCTGTAATCGCTGGAAAACACTCATGTTGGCAGCCATCTTGTCTCTGAAACTCACTTAGGCACAATGTTACAAGATATTTCATTGGTTGAGAGACCTTAAATGAATATTTTGACCAATCATATAAGCCTTTACATTGTACATACTATCACCGGCGAATCCAACATGTCTGAAAGATACAGCTTTTCTCTAACCACATTCAGGTAAAATGTATAATTATATAGGAATGGCGGTACAAACAGCTATAAAAGTTATAGCCTACATGGTTTACTCAAAAGTTCATTTGGAAATCTATAAGTAGTGCGTCTTTTAATAACTGTTTGTCAGAAAATTAGAAAAGTAATATAATGTTCATGTGACTTGCATTTTTGAACCATATCCCAGCTACTGCATAAGAGACCCTTTCTTCTTTNTTTTTAATTCTCTTCTTTACTGATATTCATAAAGCAGAGCAAACTAATGTGTCCACTTCAATGTCTAATCAAAATGCTGTAATGATTTACACAGTTGAACGGAAGTAAAAATTGTCAAGCGTTTAAAGTTTATATTTATCTAAGTATCAATAAAGATATTTTACTGTACAAAACTGTACAGATAATGTTTGTCTTTTTAAGTGATTGTTAATTTGGTTGCATTAGATGAAACTAGATTCAATAATGAATATTTTGTACAAGCAGATCTAGCATTGAAATTCAACAGTTTTAGTTGTAAAATCTACTGTAAGGTAATATCACAAATTTGGATCAAATTAAATATCAACAGAAACGATCCCCAAATAGAAGAATTAATAAGAACTGAATATACAGTTGACGTTCTACAATAAATGCAGAAAAAAACAAGAGTAGTAATACTGAAAATTCCGAAATTTGACCCTTTGAAACACCTTACGTTTTCCCTTGGAAAGCTGTCGGTGACAATAGCAGACGACCCGTGAACTTTGACCTCGTCAATGAACCAAGCGACCTCGTCATTGACCCTGCTTCGTACATACTCGGGTATTTCCGTCCTAGTGGGAATGACCCTCGTGTGTTACGATCGATTATCAATATTTAGCTGGAAAATGTGTATGTTTAGAAAGTTGTCAGTATCAAATTATGTATTTCTTTCCAAAATCTAAGCTAAATCACCAGTAACGATGAAAGTTACTTGATCGATACACAATAGAAAAGAAAAAACAATAAAAACTTATTTTTTAACCATCTTACCTGCTTGTTTAAGCACAGATATTTTTCCCCTTTTTAAAAAAAAAAAGGAAGTTAAAGTAAAAAGTTTGATTAAATCCTAGCAATTATTTCATAATCAAAATGTGGTACTTACTTGCCAACCTTTTGAAATTTCCATTGGGAGATTCTGCATGCTCTGAATCAAAAACATGATTATGTAAAAGGTGTACGTGTATATTTATATATAACTGGGGTTATCCCTTAGGTAAAAAATAAGGCATCATGTCAGATTTTATCATGGAATTTAGAAGCAGTGAATAGAATGAACATTTGACTGATTACAATTGTATATAATTAAGACATGACATTCTATTTTCCAGTCCTTCAGGGAAACTTGTACAGATTGAATATGCCTTAGCGGCTGTGGCAGCTGGTGCGCCATCTGTTGGAATAAAAGGTAAGAATAAAACAAAATTGAAGTCCGTAGATAGTGTTGTTCCTTGATCTGATGATATATGATGTAAAGCTAAACAACCGGTACAGACAGAACATGAATACATTACTGCCAATATCTTGTTTCAAATATATATTGCACTATAAAGTACTATGTAGTAGGGATAAGATTTTTCTCTAGTGAATTTTTGTCATATAATTTACTTACTGGGTATATTGTGGTATCTTTACATGAACTATATTGTGGTGTCTTTACATGAACCATATTGGTGATAATTTCTGGAGTTGCACAGATACTTTAAGTTAATAATATTACATATAAAGATCTTTATGTGGACTACATTTATGTTCTTGTTAATTTCATTATTGAAATGAATACAATTGTTATATATCTTGTAGCTACCAATGGAGTTGTGTTGGCTACAGAGAAGAAACAGAAATCCATATTGTATGATGAGAACAGTATACACAAGATAGAAATGATAACGAAGAATGTAGGCATGGTATACAGTGGGATGGGACCAGATTACAGGTAAGCTCTAATAAAGAGAGTATTTAATACAGGTAATATAAATGTCACTCAATTACTGGCATATTTCCTCAGTTATCCTTAAATTATAAGTAAAATTTTGCTTATAACATGCTATGATTTGCAGTTTGATGAAACCCATGAACGTTAACATTTCTATGCTGCAATTCAAAATGATAATGATATATTTATTTTTTAAGAAGAATATTCAATATATACATATGTATATATGCATGATGAATATTGTACTGCAATTGATATTCTATTTCCTCAGTCAAAATACCCTGCTTGTTGGTATTCATAATATACTTATAATACACCCTTTATGTAGTGCACAATGCCTTCAAACCTGGCAACTATTGAAGTAATGTATATATATTATCAATGTAAAATGCATATAGTTGTAATTATCATATATATATAAATAAATTTTTGAAGACCGGAGCTGAAGTTTTTTCTATAATCATCTAAATTAAATACCATATTTGCCCTTTTTAATTACTTCAACCCTTCATATTTCTATGCAGGGACTGATTGATAAAAAAAACCATAACATATAAATGAACAAACCAAAGACTTGTTTCTGCAAAAATTCAAGTCTATCATCGATCAGTTATGGTCTGCTAAAGCACCACTTTTGGTACAAGTTACAGACATGTATTGAAGTTTTGGAGCATTTGATACTATTTCATTTACATTCTTTTTAAATAAGAAGACTATTGTATACCTGGGCCCAGTTGTTCAAACTGTGATTAGCTTAATCAGTGCTAAGCGCAAATTTTATTTTTTGTATATCTTTAAACACAGCTATTAACCAAGTTTAAGCTTTTGAGATAGCAAATATTTTAGAAGAGTAAACTACATGCACAATTTCAAGCTTTTACCTTGTATATTGACCAAATAATTTGAGGTTGAAAAAATGTTGTTAAACAGTGATTTAGCTAATCATCTTTTGAACAACTGGGCCTAGGTATATATATACTAAATTTCTTAGTTATTGAAAATTCTCATTAAAGGAATATTTCAAATGTGTACATGGATATGAAGGATAATATCTGTGAGGCCTAAAAAATGAATATTGCTTTGTTGGATTCAGATGTTTTGTTCCATGTCATATTCTGTTTGAATTATAGGGTATTAGTAAAGAGTGCTCGTAAATTAGCACAGCAGTACTACATGCTTTACCAGGAACACATTCCTACAGCTCAGATTGTACAGAGGATTGCCAATGTCATGCAAGAATACACACAGTCAGGGTAAGAATTTTCAAAACATATACAGTAGAACTAGAACTGATAAAGAGCGAGTTTGATCATCAACTATAGCGACTGCGGTCTAACTAGAGTACGATCAAAATCACTTTAGTAACGTGTATTGCCCATGTGTAAAGAAACAAGATTACCGTGCACATGCCTGTTAACTATAGTTCAATCTACCACTTTACTTTGGTCAGACCAGAACAATTAGTGGTCGTTTGCGCATGCATGATTATTTGAAAGCAATGCAGTGATTGGTTGCTGCTTACCAGTATGTGTAAGCACATGGAATGTAACAGCCCGACTATGGTAAATGGTTGATGATCAAACTCGCCCTTAGTATGAATTCACATACACTGCCAATTGTTGCTTGTTACAAAGTTGCAGTTGTCTCCCCGGAAATGTAATTGTCTTATGAATACCTAACTCTGTAAATTATAACAAATAAACAGCAAACAAAATTCTGGTGTTCTTTAAAATATAGATTTACTGTATGTAGATTGTAGAACTTCACATATATTCAGATATTGTTTTGATAAAAGCCTGACTGTTGAAAACTTCAGTAGATTATTTCCAAAATGTATACAAAATGTCAATCTATTGCCACACAATTTCTGCCCAATGATGAATTTCAATGTATGTTTTGATATACAGGGATGACATTATTACCAGCACTTGATGGATAAATTATCATTGTTACTTATGCATAATTGATGTAAAATCTATTTGAAATTAAATATTTTCATGCACTTCCCTATGGTACATAACCTGATCATTGAATAATCAGACTGAAATGTATTTATGTTTGTGCTTTGATATCAGGGGTGTGCGACCGTTTGGTGTATCACTCCTGCTGGCTGGCTGGGATGAGGATGAGGAGACACCATACCTCTACCAGTGTGACCCCTCTGTAAGTATTGTCTCATCATTGGATGCGTACACATACCCTTAACATCCCTCTCCATGACAGGACTTTTTATAGTATGATTCTGACAGCCTGACTTGTTGGCTGGTTACTAGATCTTGTTTGGACCATATTTTCCTTACACTATAAAAACCTGTTATACTTCTATGTATGCTGAAACTAAGTCTTGCGACTCCCCTCCCCCTCCTTCACCGATCAGTATTCACTATTCAGAGATCTAATCCTTTGTTCTTTAATTTTCATGTTTGGAGAAAATGTAGAATACTAATTTTGGGGTGTCCCTGTCACATTTGGTTTACATGCAATAACTCCCTGCAAAAAAGTTCTCGACTTCAACCAAATTTTGAGCGCGCTTTAATATTGGCAACTGTCCGGGTCATTTTGACTGCCAAGTGAATGTGTGCAATCTTCATAACCAAATTTGACATACATATATATATATATACATTCTAGTTAATATCATGTTACGCCTATGACTGAGTTTGCCAGTCTGAACAATGTTTAGTGTGCATCAAACTTATCAGTATTAAAGTATATGAAAGAAGAAAGCCAGAGACTTTCCTGGCAATTTTGCTTAAGATTCTACATTCTATTAAACAATGTCTACAGGAAACCATTACAATGAAAAACAGATATAACATGTCCTGTAAGCAGGGGATACACATTCCACAAATTTGCTTGTTGAAACTTAATTTTTTATTTAAAGATTTTGAAGCATTTCCAATTTTTCATGTATATTTTTTTATGAATTGTGACCTTCACCATTTGTTCTTATTGTTATATATTTACTTTTTTTTCAGGGAGCATATTTTGCCTGGAAAGCTACTGCCATTGGAAAGAATCATGTGAATGGAAAGACGTTTTTAGAAAAGAGGTAAACAAACATGTCTTTTATATACAGTCAGAGTCCTATGTCCTATTAGGCTTTCCTGATATCAATTCTGAATGTTTATGATGGTTTTGCTTTCCATTCCCCCCAATATATAAAATCTGAATTTGACCTAGATATATAAAACAAATGCAGAAATACATCATCTACACATATGGTTGGTTGCGTAGATATTCGTGTACCACCATTTAATATGAGATGGTGCCGGGGGTCTTATAGTGTGACCAACCAATGTTGTTTCTGTCTTATGACTTTATTTCTCGAAAGGTTCTGATCAGAATTCATTCAAAGATCGAGCACTAAGGGTTCCAAGGCCCAGGTCACTGGTACTTATAAGTAAGTTATAAAAGAAAACTTTTGTCACAAATTAAGCAACTTCATTTTTGAACAGATCTTTATCCAACTTCATACATTGATATCAAGACAGGCATGGGTATTCATCTGAAGTTATGAAGTATGGTTATAGATGTGCCTAGAATGAGTTTGTATTTTAGGCTGCCAAGGCTAAAGTCACTTCATCTAGAAAATTGATAAACAGCTACATGGGCACTCATGCTAACAGATGTTCTCTGAAAAGGAAATTAAGTATAGGAAGTGTTTACAAGTTCCTTGTATTATGTCTCTCATACCCATATGGCTATTAACCATAAAACAAAAATACAAGGTAGGATTTAATATTATTCATCATGTTGATGCAATAACAAGAGGCCCAGCGTGCCTGTATCGCTCACCTGGAAATGTTAGCAAAATTGACGTTGAAATATATAGCCAGATGTTGCTGGTAGTGTACATGTATTACATGATTAGTCGGGGTTATATTTATATGCAATTGGACAAAATCCTGTCATTCCTACACGAAAAGGAAGATTTTGAAGAATTTGCTATGTTTCCCTATCATTCCTACAGAAGAAGAAGGATTTTAAAGCAATTTTTTATTTTCCCTTTTTGGCCCGCCCCTCTGCTCCCAGGGGGTTCAGACCCATCATTTATACAAATTATTTTCCCTTCCTTATATGATGCTGCTGTTCAAATATGATCAAAACATGTTTCCCCTATCATCCCAACAGGACAAGAAGGATTTTAAAGCTATTCCTCTATAACCCTTATTGGGCCCTGCCTCTCTGCCCAAAGGACCCGTCAGACCCACTGTTTATACAAAATTGGTTCTCCTTCACCCAAGGGTGCTTCATACCAAATTTGGACAAAATCCTGTCATTCCTACAGAAGAAGGATTTTGAAGAATTTGCTTTGTTTCCCCTATTGGGCTCCACCCCTCTGCTCCCGGGGGGGGGGGTCAGACCCACCATTTATACAAAATTTAGTCCCCTTCACCCACATATACTTTTGACCAAATATGGACAAAATCCTGTCACTCCTACAGAAGAAGAAGAATTTTTAAGAATTTGCTAAATTACCCCTAATTGGGCCCCATCCCTTTGCCCCCAGGGAGGTCAGACCCACCGTATACACAAAAATCAGTTCCCCTTCACCCAAGGATGCTTTAGACCAAGTTTGGACAAAATCCTGCCATTCATACAGAAGAAGGATTTTGAAGAATTTGCTATTTTTCCTCTATAAGGCCCACCCCTCTGCCCCCAATGGGGCCACACTCACTGTTTATACAAAATTGAGTCCTCTTGGCCCAAGGATGTTTTAGTCTTACTCTAAATTAGGATAAAATCCCTTACTGGGTAATACCTATGGTAGAAGAAGGGTTTTAAAGGTTTTACCTCTATTTCCCCTATTGGGCCCTGCTCCTCTACCCCGAGGGTGGCCACATCCATCGTTTATACAAAATTGAGTCCCCTTGGCCTAAGGATGCTCCAGACCAAATTTAGTCAAAATCTACTGGGCCGTTCAGGACTAGTAGCGTTTTAAAGGAAAAGTTGATGAACAGAAGATGGACGCTGCGGTATGACATAAGCTCACCATGGTCCTTTGGACCAAGTGGACTAAAAATGAATCTTCAGGAATATGAAATAATTATTAATTTTCATTGCCTTAAAAAACATAAGTTCACATATTTTCTTTCTACATCTAGGTACAGTGATAATCTTGAGCTAGAGGATGCCGTCCACACAGCTATTTTAACCTTGAAAGAAAGCTTTGAGGGTCAAATGACAGAAGATAACATCGAGATTGGAATCTGTAATCAGGATGGTTTCAAGAGATTATCACCAGCGGAGGTCAAAGACTATCTAGCCTCTGTGCAGTAATGGAGTTGTGCTATCATTGACATTACTTAGACTGCCTCTAATTGACACATTAAAAAAAAAAGATCTAAAATTTGGTCATACATGCTTGATCAAAATCCTCCAATATTGAGACTTTTTAAACAAGTACAATCAGGATGTGACTCCAGATGTTGGAACATTTTCAATACCAGAGGAATAACGTCAACAGCTTGAATTGTAAAAACCTGAGCTACAATTTGTAACTTTGTGATCAAACTTATGTAAAGATATGATATATCTATGTAACATTGTACAAGTAACACAATGTGCTGTCACCATCCTCTCAATGAAGATAAATTCAGACAGCATTTTCATATCCTTTAATACTTGAAATGATTTAAGTATGTACATTAAAGAATAATGGTAGCAGAAAAAAGTGCTAATGTTGTTGAAAATTGTATTAAATTGATTCAGACTAAACTTAATATTGAAAATGTTCATCAATAACTCTTAAAACATTATCTGTGTACATACTGGTACTTGTAATCTATTGAAGAATATTGAGATACAATGTATGTTGATATGGTGATATCACTGTCATAGAGTTCATTGTGATATAAAATAAACCATCATTCATATACAATTTAACTGCTTTGTTTTCATATTAGACATGTTCTTTATAGTGTCCTGTATTGTGATCAAGATTTCATAATCTGTAGTGATAGCCTGTTAAGTCTCCTCTTCCATTGAACATATTAATTGTAGTGATTCTACATCTCCTTCTAGGTCTACTAATAACTTATTGCGTAACTTTTAAACTGCTAAGTATATCTTGATCAAGTCCTACATCACTTAGAGATGATGTTAAGTGCTCTGTCAAAAAGTCACTGTAACCTTGACCTCAAAGTCAAAGGTAAAGAAATCATATTTCAGGAACATTTTGTCCGAGCGGTAACTTCTAAACTATTAAAAGATAACATGAAGAAATAAACTATTAAAAGATAACATGAAGAAACTTTCAGTATTTCTATAACACCCACAGGCAGTATACAGAGCACTATCATTAGGTTATCGTGACCTTGACCTCAAGGTCTAAGGTAAAATATATGTAACCTTTTTAGTTCCTTTTTTTTTCTTACTTGTAAGGTACTAATGAATATCAAAAATTTGTATTCAAATTGATTCATTTTATAATTTATTAGAAGACAGTTCCTCTAAGATACGCATTTATTTCACTTTATTTGCCTGCATTTTTTGGCAAATGAATGGGAAGGAATATTGGCTATAAAGGTGATGAGACCTGTTTCTATTGAAAAAAAAGACAAATCTCTTGTTTTAATTTTGTATAAACATGTACCTCAACATAATGTTACATTGTATATTTGCCACCTCTCACATTTAGCTCACCTGCCAAGAGGGGATGAAGCACAACTAACCTTGCGAAAAATCACGACCTTGACCTACCTTCCAGATCACATGTCAAATATATAAAAAAAAAATGGCTACTGACTAGCTGAAAGCTGGAATGGAGCCTGACAAAATTAGTGAAATAAAATTACTTGCTTTCAGCAGTGGCAGTGTTAAATATGTCAAACATCAACAGATTTTTTTCTGACAAACCAAAAGGCTGAGTAATAATTTGACTGATATAATTAAAAGCAACAAAAGTCTCCTAGAGCCAATTGCCTCCAGCACTCCTCAACCCTGCCAGTCAACAATATGCTTCAGAAATGAAAATCATTTGCAAATTTCAAACAAACAAGAGGCCAAATGGGCCTGCATCACTAATCTGGTACACATCTCACACTTGTAATCTTAAAAACTGATCTTAGGTGAAGCTAAAGGCAAAATATCAGTATTTATGATTAAATTCATTCAAAAGAACCTGTTAAAAGATTTAAAAACATTTCACCCCTGTGACCTTGAAAGTCTAACAAGGTCAGTATATTGAACACATTTTATAGCCCTTCATCTCAGGATGCAACTTGCAAAAAATCATCCCCCTTTACTTTTGTTCATCGAAATTAGGTCATTAAAATATTTACACATATTTGAATAAATGTGACCTCGAAAGTGGGTCAAGGTCATTCGAATAAAAAAGCTTGATGGCTCTCATCCAAACAAGCTACTGGCTAAATATCACATTCTGGGCCTCGTGGTTATTCAGAAGAAGTTGTTTAAAGATTTTAAATAAATTTGACCCCTGTGACCTTGAATATAATCAAGGTCATTCACTTAAAAAAACTTACTGGCTCTTAATCTCACCATGCTACTGACCAGATATCAACATTATAGGCCTTATGGTTATTCAGAAGAAGTTGTTTAAAGATTTTGACATATTTGACCCCGAGACTTTGAATATAATGCAAGGACATTCATTTGAACAAACTTGGTAGGCCGTCATCACAGCATGCTACTGGCCAAAGACTTTGAATATAATGCAAGAACATTCATTTGAACAATCTTGGTAGGACGTCATCACAGCATGCTACTGGCCAAATATCAACATCCTAGGCCTTTTGGTTACAAGGAAGAAATTGTTTAAAGATTTTGAACATATTTGACCCCTGTGACCTTAAATAAATGTCAAGGTCATTCATCTGAACAAACTTAGTAGTCCTTCATGTAACAGGCCAAATATCATCATTCTGTGACTTTTGGTTATTCAGAAAAAGTTATTTAAATATTTTGAACATATTTGATCCTGGTGACCTTGAAAATACTTCATATGCAAGGTCACAGGGGGGTCAAATATGTTTAAACTTTGAAACTTCTTCTGAATAACCAAAAGCTTCAGGGTAATGACATTTGGCCAGTAGCATGGGGGGATGCATCTTCGCTAGCCAAGTGTTCGCTTCGTATACACTCCACGTACCCTTGGCGGATAAAGCGGTGTTTTCATAATTCCCTCCACTGCCACCTAGCGGATTTAGAGTTATCGTTCTCCTCCCAATAAACATTTAACCAATCAGAATGACTGTTACATACACACTCCATCATAATGCATGTGTATGTAGAGGCAGAGTATAAATGACAGAGCAATATGGAAACAATCCAAAGGCAGCACACATATTTTCCCAGGTCATCATTTACCTGTGGCACGTAGTCAAAGATTTCCACCAACTGATTTAACACTCCAGAAGTTTCCCAAAATATTGTGCACCTACTTTTTTTGGGGCAAAACACTATGACATAAACGACAACAAATTTGATGGCTTGGTAAACATGGCTATATCCGCCATGGGTAAGTGGAGTGTATACGAAGCAAACACTTGGCTTAGCGAAGATGGGGGGGATGAAGGGCTACTAAGTTTCTTTGAATGGATGAACTTCGCCCATATTCAAGGTCACAGGGGTCAGTTGTCTTAGCCCATATTCAAGGTCACAGGGGTCAATTGTCTTAAAAACCTTAAAAAAAACTTCTTCTGAATTACCAAAATGTCCGGGGTGATGATAATGGCTAATAGCATGCAGGGATAAAGGGTTACAAAGTTTGTTCAAATGAATGAACTTTGCCCATATTCAAGGTCACATGGGTCAAATACGTTGAAATCTTTAAACGTCTTCTGAGTAACTTAGTGTATAGGGTGACTGCTTGTAGATGTGAATGACCTTGACACAATTCCAGGTCACATCTGGTCCATAGTGCATAAATCTTTTAAAAGTCATCTTCTCAGTCAACAAAACGTTCAGAGTGGTGATATTTGGCAAGTTTCATTCTAAGATGAAGGGCTATAAAGATTTTTCAACTAAATGTCCATGTTTGACTTTCAATGTCACAGAGGTCAAATGTGTTTAAACTTTGAAACTTCTTCTGAATAACCAACAGCTTCAGGGTGAAGATAACAGGTTTAACAGGTTTTCTGAATTACTTTAAACTTTATGTCAAGACACTGATATTTTACCTGTAGCTTTGTTTTAGTCCTCTTTTAAGGTTACAATTGTGAGATTAATACCAGGTGAGCAATGCAGGCCCGTTGGGCTTCTTGTTTTTTTTAGACAATTGACCCCTGTGACATTGAATATAAGTGAAGGTCATTCACTTGAACAAACTTGGTAGCCCTTCACCCCAGCATGCTACTGGCCAAATATCATCACCCTGGGCATTCGGGTTATAAAGAAGAAGTTGTTAACAGTTTTCAACATATTTGACCCCTGTGATCTTGAACTATGGTCAAGGTGATTCATGTGAACTGGGTAGCCCTTCATCCCAGCATGTTACTGGCCAGATCTCATCACCCTAAACCTCTTGGTTATTCAGGAGAAGTAGTTTAAAGGTTTTGATCCCTGTAACCTTGGATATAAGTAAAGGTCATTCATTTGAACAAACTTGATAGCTCTTCACCTCAGCATGCTACTGGCCATATACCATCACTCTGGGCATTTTGGTTATTCAGAAGTTGTTTAAAGTAAAATATTGACGCCGGACGTCGCACCAAGGCAGTACAATTGGTCCGAAGGGCCAAGTGAGCTGAAAACATTTCCTTGCGTTGGTCAAATTTGATGCCTGTATCTGTCAAGTGATAAAACTCTTATAGATGATCGATGTCTATATTGTAATGTATCTGGAATTATCTTTGGTTTTCCAATGAAGAGTCATCACTTTAATATTATAATTACTTCAGCTTTCCAACTGAAATTACATCACTTAGAGCAAGACTGATACAGCTGTAGGGGATATTAGATTTATCCAAATTTTAAGTCTCAGATAGGTATCAGATTTGCATTGTACAAACACCTTCAGTGTTCAACAAGAATCAGGAGAGAGGAAGCAATTATTACCCATGCTTTAAACATCTTCTATGTCCCACAATTACCAGGCTTGAGGAATCTTAGATCAGTACCGGTGTTACAATATGTTGTAACATGACCTTCAATGTTCTATAAGAACCAGGAAGAAGGAAGCATGTAGTTCCAGTGTACATGTACTTTCAGTGTTGTACAAGGGTTAGAAGAAAACATTAAGGTCTGTACCAGTGTTATCCATAACAACACAATAGGTACCAACACCTTCAATGTTCCACCAGTCGAGTAGTATCGGCTGTGAGGATTCAAGTCGGAGAAACTCTGCAATATCTCGACCAGCTTTCAATACAAAACATGTTCGAAGGGTACCACTTACTTTTTTTTTTACTTATAACTGATAAGTCTATATAAACGTACTTTTAAAAAAAAATATTATGATTTGCAATCCAAATTTAGCCATGATTTTGTGGGAGTTCTATTAGGCTTTTTTTTACAATAATCAATGCAAGGTCATGATCATGTGATCTTGGGCTAGGTTGTTAAAACTGAAAACAGTGAAAAAACAAATCACAAAAAACATCAGTAGTACAATGATTTATTCTTCAATGTGAAGAGTTCAAATTAGAGTCATAGGAGTGTTTTAAACAAACAAAAATAATCATGTACTTCAAATTTGTACAGTTTTACAAAATGAGGATAACTGATAACTTTTTAATTAACTTTATTGATTTCTGGCAAGAACAAAATAACAATCAATTTGTTAGATACACAAAACCAAAGTTAATCATTTCATTTAGAGGTAAAAATGTTCAAAATTTAAACCTGTAATTCCTATGAGCTATATGCATTCTGTAAACTGATCATTCAATTGACCCCTGGATGTGACCTTATTTATGAACAAAGGTCCCAAATATTAACCCCTTCATAGTGTTTACAATTTTAACATCGTCCCATTTGAAAACATTAATGGGAAAGTAAGAATTTTAATAAAGAAATTCAAAATTACATCTTTCTTCAGAGATCAGAAAAATATATTGGCTTGGAAACAACATTTTGATGTTTTAATTTTTCCTTATAAAACTGTATAAATATTGAGATGTAGTCTAGAGTTTGTACTGATGTAGGCGTTTAGGAAACTGTATAGTACATACTCCATGAAAACAAAACCAGATTTACAACATTTACATGTGATAATTTAATGCACCATGATTATAAAGCACTTAAGCATATACTTATAATGGTGTTTCTCCATTACACACTAGTTACTGTACATGCTGTTTATAAATAAAGCTGTTCCCTCCATCAGAGGATCTCAAAAACTCATTCTCACCCATGTTGCATCACAAACACAGGTCAACATGACCTAGAACTTAAGCCATGGGCTAATTAAAACGAATAGGAAAAGGAGTATGACTCAAATAAAACAGTTAAAATACAAAATAAATCACATTCACTATTACCCGAAGTATTGATCATGTGTGCCAAAATTTCAGAAATATTGGTCAAGAAGGTAAAAATGTGTCTACTTCAGACAAAATTTAATTCATAAACAAATTCCAAACAAATTTTTCAAATGGAAAACTAAACTAAATCTCTAGAATGTTACCGTCCAAGGTAATGCTATTGTGTACCAGGCGTCATAATAACAGATAGAAAAGGTAAGAAGTGGTGTGTCGTATGATCTTTCCTCTTTAGATTAACCGATACTCTGACAAAAGTATACCCTTGTCAACTTGCTTGCATGGGATAACATTTAAAAGACATTTAAAAGACAGGACTGAAGAGGAATCTATCAACCGATCATTCATGTGTTTATCTAATCATCATATTCATCTATCTTCAGCACACCAAACACTCACAAAAAAGTGTGATGGTGTACCTTTGATGTAAAAAAGATTAGTTGTACGCATACTAACCCGCAAGACTTAAAGTATGGCATGTTATCAAGTTAATTTGCCAGGAAGGATTCTTTTCAAAGATAAAATAATCTTTTAAACATTATTATAGTACAGCAAACAACATTTCTGTTTAACACATGTACACACATAAAATGCATTTTGCTCAAATTATGTGGGATGCACATTTATTAACTGTTGTAATTTTCTTGATGTCATGATATCTGCCGAATGACATGGCTATGTCTGGATAGACATGTACTCCTCAGCATTTAAATTTCTGGGAATAGTCAGTACCAGGTCTTGTGTCATGTATATAATCTTTCAGTGGCCATGGAGGTCAACACTACAAATGACTCGTAGAAGAAACTTGGCCTGCAGCATAATTCAATAGGATTACAAGCACATTTACTTACACTTTTCGTTTTTTTTAAGCAACACAATTGAGATATACATGTAGCCTACATATATATCTCAATTATGCAATATGATATTTTTTAGTCTTGCATATGTAAATTACATTAACTTTGATATCATAATGCCAAAGCATTGTGATAATTATCATGACAAGACAATGTCCATGTGTTTTACTGTAAGAAAGTTGTGTTAACGTATTATTTATATCAAGTAATCAAAGTCAATGTAAATTATAAAATGAATATGGCACTTTGTGCAACCACATAATACAGGCTTTTTTATATTGATTTTTCTTTTTTAAATCTACCAATACTTGTACATGTATATCATTGTTGGTTGGCTCCACAACCAGGACTTGAAGTCCTGAACAGAGAGGACCAACTCTTGTGAAAATATCAGAAAGGTTAATTTTATATAAAAACATTGAACTGGCCAGATAAGGCCTAACAAATCTCCCTGCGACCAGCATATATACACATACCCCCTCTTAAGGATACATTAATATTCCTGTCCAACAGGTTAGCTATACTGAAGTATAGTCAGATATCTCTGCCAGCAAGAATAGTAATGCTAATTAGGTGAATAATATCCTCACTAATCAAATGCTGTCTGCATTATAAAGCAAGACATCCACTAGGTTTATATACAAAAATAAAACCCACTCATTGTAAGGAGTAAGCAATTGGGTGAAATATACCCAAGTGTCAACGAAAAAAGACAATCAGTTAGTTTCATCCGGAAAAAAATGTGAAGTTTCTCATAATTTTATTAATGTTTTAAAAATTTGTCTTTCTTATAATTTGCCATCAAATTTTTTTAACAAATACAATTTAGATGGCATAATAAGTAAGTGTATCCAGATAATAAAAAAGATGATTCAATTTGATAATGTAAAATCTGTGTTTCAAATTTTCCCCATGTTTTCCCCCTACAATATTCAACTGCAATTTGCCAAAACTTTAATTTTCATACAACAATGAGACTTTTATTTTCCCACTATTCAAAACACAATTTAACACCGCTACTAGCCAGGACAAATCTAATTACCTGAACTGTGATCACAACTTACATCATTCACCAATGTTTTGAAAATGCAACTAGCAAAAGTGATGTTACAATTAAATTATGAATATTCATTTATTTAATCAATGGAAATGATATTATATGAGTGTATATATTAGATATATACATTTAATACACATACAACAAAATGTACAGTTATTATTGATATTCATAAATAGTCATATTTCAATTAAAATCACAGTTTGAGTTGAGGTATTTCGTATTTTGTTTTTTAGACAGGATTTGAATTCAGATATCCATTTTCATATTTCAAATTTGGACAGCCAGTGATATCATCAATCACATGCTATGCCAAAAGACACACCACTCATTTCAAACAACAAATACTATCTTTGAAAATAAAGTGTTGTCATAGTCAATATAACCTGTATTAAGGAACATACATTATTGTACCTGTAAATAAAATAAAAAGGGTTTAAAGTGAATACTTGATCCAATTATAAAGTGTTTTTATCTATTGTTAATGACACATGACATATCTAAAAAAACACTTGTTTGTGGTAATACATGTAAACAACTGCAGTTTACAGAAACATGAATATGAACGGCAAAAACCTGTAATTATTTTTCAAAATGAATATCATAAAAAAGTCTGGGTATGGTTAATAGCAGATATTGATTTGTTGTAAATAAAATGTTTCTTATCTAAAGCTACATTATCTGTTAAATGATGACAACAATGAAAACTGATTTTTGAAACAACTGGGGTATGTCACTCCTTCTGGATGATTATTTATGACACAAAGAATTGTTTTCATATTAGGATACAATTTTTTTTCACATGTTTGGAAATTCTCACTTTTTGTATTTAAACTATCATAAACTGATACTGTTGCACCTAGCTAAATTATATTTATTTTATGTCCATTTAATGGAACAATGGATTATCTACCTATAGGGGAAATCCATAAATATGTGAAAAAGAAAAAGTTCTAAAATATGACATCTATGAATCTATTTCAGTAAAAGTTAATCAACACATATGTATTGATACCTGTATTAAATTCTTAATACCAACATGCAAACTACACATAATCGAAGTTCATTGATAACCACAACAACATACATTAGCGTAGCATAGTTACCTTGCTTAAATTTTTCAATACTCACCAAGGCTAAAAATATGTATGTTTCAGGTAACAAGATTAAAAAAAATGGGGTAGGTTGGTACGATTTTGTTTTCCATTTTTTTTTGAGGGCCACCTTTTGAAATTACCATAATCACCAAACATAGCTATATAGCTGTCCAGACCAATTGTACCAATTTTTCATTATATTTTTAGATCTTTTAAAATAATACTTTCCGATTAAAACTTGCTTTTAATACCTGCCTATGAAATAGGCTGATAATAATTGGCTTGTTTGAATGGGAAGTTTAAGTTTTCAAGTGGGATAAAGTTGTAAGGGTAAGAGGTAAAAACCATGGTCAGTCTGCAGGGTACCTGAAACATACTGTGAAAACAGCTACACAATATTCACTTATGCAATGTTATCAAATATTAATTACTTCCAATACATTTGTAACATGAAGCAAATGCACAGTACTTTAAAACAATGTATTCAAATCAACCAGCAAAGTACCAACCACCTATTCATCCTGAATTGTATCACATTATAATTGGAGGATAATAGCTGGTAGAAGTTCTGTTTAACAAAGCTATGAGAGCAGAGTCAGGTTTGACAGCCTGAAATAAAAGGCTTAACAAGATAAACCTAATTATTTGTTGGCAAATATGCAGATGCTTTTCAACTGAAGAAAATCTACTTCTGGTTTGTAATGTTCAGCAAGTGGCATCTTTAAAACTCAACAATGACCATCCTGATGTGCTCAAAGATAACCTTCTCTTTCATTTTGTAGCCTACGTATTACAGAAATATGTAAATTATAAGTACTGAGGATAGGGAAACAAATATAACTACACTTCCATCAGACTTAGATAGCATCTAATTCCGTGCTTCATTCAATCTGTCTTCTCCATGCTAAGCTCTGACAGTACCTATGCTGTTAGTTACTTGTCAAAGGTTATTTTCTCCAAGACATGCCTTGAAAGTTCAATTTCACAACATATGTAAATGACTGACTCCAGCGTACAACTGAAGGTGCAGTTATGATTGATATATTTCCTGTGACCAATTAATCTGGCCAGACTCGGAACTACCTTATTGTTATAACTGCAAGCCTTCTTGTCTACTATTCAAATTATCATTCAATAAAAGAAGTTCACATAAGTTTAAAACCCCGTACTTATTTCAGGTTTCTTTGTGATGAATTATTTTGGAACAGAGATGCTGGGATGACAATACATAGATAAGTGTCGTGATTAAAATTCAACAGTCAAAATGAATATAACATTGTTTAAATTATCCCGATCCCAATACATGTAATAACCTACTGATAATTTCATTTGAGATACTGTGTAACATGAAAATTTGTGGATATTTTCTCTTGCAGTTTAAATACTGAAGTAAATACAAGGCAAACGTTTCACATATAGTCACAGACCTTTTGTCCAGATCAGCACAGAGTTTCTTACATTATGAATTCATATCATTTGAAGAAAAGAAATATTCAACAATTCATATTTCAATACACTGAACCATCTTAATCTGGACAGTTTGGTTCGCACAACAACAACAATCTTTTCTTCAGGTTACCCCCAGAACATAAGATGTTACACCGAGAAATCTATTCCTCAATACCAGAGAGTGGAAAGTTTTTCATGCCTTCACAGTTTCACATATTAACATTGAAGTGTATTTGAGATACACAAGGTTATTCTTTCATTCACAAACACATAATTAAATCTGACATCACAACAAAGGTCAGTGTTCCAATGGCATTTTGAACTTCGCCTTTGACAGATTTTTTAGTTTGAGCTTTTCCAACCTCTTTTTATTTTTCCCACCTATGGAAGTGAATTCTACATTGATTTTACGTCCAGCTAAGGTGGTTTGATGAAGGCGGAGTGCAATCTGAAAAAGAAAATGAACTTAAATAAATTGAGGTAAATTATTTGAAAAAGTTGGTACATTTCGTATGTTGCTTCCTGTTTTGGATGCTCCAACATACCATCAATTAATTTTAATACTGTGTACCTAGGAAATTACATAAATGTAGGAAAAATTGATCAACCCACATCCCAATCCAAAAACACAAATGGAACACAAAGTTGGTCATTAATGTGATACAGCTGTTATACATTGTATTACGGTGGCTTTTTATTCTAAACCCCTATGGCTAGTATTCAACCACGACAGATTTGAATTAGATGACTATCAAAGTTTGTGACCCCACAATATGGAGCAGTTATGTCCCTTTGGGACATCAACATTTTCTTATTTAATGTTACATGTAAGTAAGCAATGATATCTTGTGTTAAATACATTCATAACAATGACAACTTTTTGTGATACAATTCACATACCCCATGACTAATTCTGTCTTTGAATTCTATATAAGCAAATCCTCTGGCTTTGTCTGTTCCTTTTTCCTTAGGAATCCGGATCATTTTTACACCACCTTAAGATATAAAAAAGAAAAATTAGTGTTTTTTTCTGTGATTTCTGTCAAAAGTACAAGCAACTCACAATGATAGATTGATCATATGTACACAGGCTGCTAGCTATATAGCCTGTTATTCGGTATATAGAAACACCATCTTAGTAACAATACAACAAGCAATTCCAGTCACCCAAGGCCAAGTCATGGTTAATGGGAAAATGGTGGCATTTCCCTTTGAATTTCAATGTTTTAAAATTCACCAATGTGTAGCTTACTGTAAGTACTTTTTAGATGAGAAAGAAACCCAAACTTGTCCCAATTAAATAAGACTTTTAGAAACAGACTGAAACACAGTCATAGAAGTCCTACATATAGTACGGGGAAAACTTTGAGATACTGCATGTTCAAAGAATGTAATAAATTAGACAGATGGCCCAACAACATTAATTCTGGATCTGACCTGGAATCAAACTAAGTACAAAATAAATATACAGTAATAATCATTTGCCAAGTTTCATGAAAATCAAAGCATCCCTTCAGTTTTAAATTTAAAGACTAAAATTGAACAGAAACCACCTCAGTTGCCCAAATCAAAGATGGCTGCTGGCAGCCATATTGATTTTGGTATGAAAGATAAAACTGAACGTGTGCATGAAATGATATTTAAGGTTTAGTTATCAAACTGAGAGCTACAAATATGGCTGTAGTGGCAGCCACATTCATTTTCTGACCCAGTTCAACATCTACATTTGTAGCCTGATCGTGAGAGCAATGACTATGAAAAGTATTTGAGGAAGGTTTGATGAATATCGAAGCATTTATAAGGAGTCATATTACATGTCATAATGCAAACCACTAGTAGCCATATAGAATTTCAGATCTGGATAAAGGGGGGGAAATGGATGTTAAAGTATTTGTAGGAAGTTTAATAAAAATAAAGGCATTTATTCAGAGTTGTTACATGGAACCTTTTATTGACAGTAACACAGTCGAGTGTAGTGTTGGGACGATGGTCGGCAAGCATCGATTAGCGATCGTTTATAGCAACTCGATGCCGATGATCGATGGTAAACATCAACAATCGATCATCGGGTAAGGTACCGAAACGAACGAACCTCATAATATGTAACCGAACGCGCCACTGGGATTTTACAAAATTAAACATGATGAACCACCTACACGCCAAAATCTTGATACAAGCCAAGCCGTTTGTCGTCTGTGTTGGAAGATATACAGAAACATGGGTAAGCTGACGTACTCTGACGTAGTATATACGTTTGTAAACTCAATTGTAGCAGCACGCTTGCCACACATACTTATAAAGTAATAACTTTATGCTTTTGCTTCTGTCATTTTCAGGAAACACTACAAATTTCAGAGCTCATATTGATGGTGAACACACGTTGCCGTCTGAAAAATCGACACAATCACACACAGCCAAAGCTGATACAAAGTTAGTCCAGCCAACAATTTCGTCAGCATTTACAAAACGAAGTGGTATTGTGACAGGATCTACTTTATGAGCCAAGAACGAAGAGAAAGGATAGACAACGCACTTTATAAACTAATCGTTGGGAAAGTGATGCCTCCGAGCCTAGTTGAAAATGAACATTTTATCATGTAGCTCAAGATAGTTATTTGCAAGGAGTTGTTTTGAGTAATTTTAAATGTGTTAGCTTTTCAAACTTTTACATGTATGGCTTGTATGTTGATTTGTGTTATTCAAATGATTTGGTCAAGAAGGCTGTCTAGTCAAGTAAATTTATAAATGTTTAAAACAAGAAATTTCAAGAACTGTCTAGTCAAGAAATGTTTAGTCAGTACTCAGTAGTTTAGTTACTGTGTATCAGCTCAATTAAGTTGTTTAATGTTTATAGTTGACTAATAAAAGCAATTTATCTTTATTTGTTAGAACCCCCAGTTTCCATAGTGCATAAAGGGACTGGTTAGTGATCCATACACATAAGCACTATCATGCTCGCCATGCAGTTATGTTACAAGCTAAGCTAACTAGCATACTTCAGAGGGTGATAAGGGATCAGAGGGTACATATACTACAACAGAATACAAAGTAAGCACAAGCAATACATGGAACTGAAGACAGATAGTTTATTTCTTACTATAATGGAAGCCAAAAGCTACAAAACTATAATTTCTCCATACACGCATTGAAAAAAGTAAACCGATTATTTCACCGATTATCGGATCGGATAGGGGATCCGATTCCAACCGGTGATCGATTATAATTTTCAACCGATTTCCCAACACTAGGCGAGTGATCCCTGTCAAAAAATCATCCCTCTTGAACAAATCTGCAAATCTTTGAATTAACATAATTGTGAAACCGGGGCCTGGAATACATAACTCATTGATGAATATCACATGGATTTGTAGAAATCATAATGCATACTGATATTAATGATAAGTAGAAGTTATTATTCATACTGTCTTGTAATAATGACGATGACAGTGACTTCCTTAGATGACTTATCTTACCTGTTTTTCTGAAATGTTCTTCCAACTGTTCTTTTGAAATGTTGAATGGAAGATTTCCAACAAAGAGTACATAAGCCTTGGCCATGTGTTTGGATGATGTCTGCTCACCGGCTATATGCACATTGGGTAACCCTTCTTTGACCTCTTCTTTGACCTTCACCTTGTTATTCTTTTTTTTTGAGTTTTCTGCGTTAGATTTAACAGTTTTGAAATTTAATTTAGTTTGCGATTTCATCTCTACTTTCATCTTGCCAGGCACCACTGCCTGTGATAATGCGTTCCTAGTCGCTACACTGGTCTTGAATCCACCCTTGTTGTTCTGTTCCACTAAAGTTGTGTGATTGTTCTGCATCTTATTATCAGGCATCAACTTTCTCAAACCTGCAAAGAAAATTTCATTGTGCTAAAATTGAACTTCTATTCAAATCAAAGACAAATATACAGCTAGTTTCTGGATAACGTTGACAAAAAGACAATTATTTCTATTTTTCATTTCTAGGATTTTGTTTTCAATTTCCCCAGATAATCATTTTTGAAAACAAAGTTTTATAATTCATATGTCTTGTAACCAACATTATAGAAGTGTGGGTGGTTGGGTGGTGCAGTGGATAGAGCACTTGCTTGTCACCAAGGCATGAGCAGCTGGGGTTCGATTCCCCGATCGGACGTTAAAAGGTATGGGGGCACCTGCCCGACCGCGTGGGTTTTCTCAGGGTACTCCGGTTTGCTCCCACAGTAAAACTGTTTCCCCTCACACGCTAACATCAGGGCCAACAGAGTGGTTAGTATAAGTTGTAAAAACTTGTTTCATAATTGTTGTCAAACAAATAAAGTTTATATTATAGAAGAAAGCCCTAACTCTATTAATGAGACTTTAAGCTTTTTCATGTAAGATAAAAAGACCAGAAAAATTGGAATCCCAAATTGTGTGTATTATCCTAGAGTAAAGTTTGTAGTAGATCCTTAGCCAGGTCATAATCAGGTATCCAGAGATAGAATAAGTATCCCAGAGACAAGTATAGCATACCAATGTCAAGTATACACTGTAAGTATCCAGGTGTCAAGTATTTTATCCTGGTGTCAAGTATAGTATCCCAGAGTCAAGTACCGGTATATATAAGTATCCTAATGTTGAGTATATAGTATCCCACTATTACGGTATATATAGCATCCCCATGTTAAGTTTAGTATATATCCTGGTATTAAGTATAGTATCCTGGTGTTCTTAAGTATAGTATCCTGGTGTTCTTAAGTATAGTATCCTGGTGTTCTTAAGTATAGTATCCTGGTGTTAAATATAGTATCCTGGTGTCAGGTATAGTATCCTGGTGTTAAGTATAGTATCCTGGTGTTCTTAAGTATAGTATCCTGGTGTTAAGTAAAGTATCCTGATGTCAGGTATAGTATCCTGGTGTTCTTAAGTCTAGGCGACCTTAAGTAAGTATAGTATCCTGGTATAAAGTATAGTATCCTGGTGTTAAGTATAATATCCTGGTGTTCTTAAGTATAGTATCCTGGTATTAAGTATAGTATCCTGGTGTCAGGTATAGTATCCTGGTGTTAAGTATAGTATCCTGGTGTTAAGTATAATATCCTGGTGTTCTTAAGTATAGTATCCTGGTGTTAAATATAGTATCCTGGTGTCAGGTATAGTATACTGGTGTCAGGTATAATATCCTAGTGTTAAGTATAGTATCCTGGTGTCAGGTATAGTATCCCTGTGTTAAGTATAGTATCCCTGTGTTAAGTATAGTATCCTGGTGTCGGGTATAGAATCCTGCTATCAAGTGCACTATTTTTATTAAGGATTTAAGTGTCAAGTAATTTCGATACAGAGTCCCTAGGGTACAAAGTGCATAGTGTTAAGAATAAGAATCAAGAATAATACTTCAGGTTCAAGTATAGTACCTGGAGTCAAATAATAAAATACCGGGTATAGTATTCCAGAGTACAGTGTATGTAGTATTCCAAAGTCTAGTATAGTCCTTAGAGTCGAGAATGGTACAGTATATCCTAAAGTCAAATATAGTACAAGGACAGAGATCAATCTAGGTTTTAGGGGAATCGACCCTTTTTTCAGATTTGGGGGAAATCAAAATTTTGATTCAAGGGATAGCGTCATAAAGATAAAAAGAAATGTTTTGTCTGCCATACATGTGTGCGGTATATTTCAATTTATAAACAATTTTAAGCCTAAAACTGTAGAACTTGTTCAAAGTATGTGAAGAAAATGTATATATAATTTATAAAGCAGTATAATGCATTTGAACTATTTAATTTTGAAAAAAACATAAAGGGGAAATATTTTGAAAAAAAAACGCTATTTTCTTGTTGAAGTAGGGGAATTTTGAAGCACATAGCTGGGGTAATTTCAAAGAACACGGGAACTTTCTTTTGTAGGGGAAACTACCCATAAACAGTAGTGATCAAGTCTAGATTGATCCCAGAAAGAGTTAAGTATAGGCTAATAGCATATAGGTCTAGTGTCCTGGATTGATGTTTACTATCCTATTCCCGGAGTAAAGTATAGTATCCAGGAGTCAAGGGCATAGTCAGGGACATAGGAAACTATACTAAATAGAAGTCTGACATGATGCTATACCATCTTGATCATACAAATCAACCTGTGAAGTATTTCATTATAGCTATTGGCTTAATCCGTAGACTGTACTAGACCTGTTCAAGAAACATAGAATGAGAACAGAATTACAAAAATGGCTGAAATATAAAAGCACTATACAATATATAATGATAGTGTGAACAAATTGTAATTTTTTTCAGAGCAATTTGCTCCTTTTTTTCCAGGAAAACTGTACACAAAATTACTTGCAGACAGAGCATACATTTTGACAGTTAGGCCAAAACAACAGTTATGTGCATTTCAGGTAAATTTTAATTTCAATTGCTTAATCAAATAAATTTAACAATACATTATTCAAGCTTTCCAAGGGCTATTAAGTTGTCGAAAATGGAGTCAAGCTCCGAGAACAGGAAGAAAGTAACTTTTAATGAGTGACTGTGATCATGAGCTATGCCTGGCTAAAAAATCAATCTTGGATACATGGAGGTGATAACATGTTCTAGGATTGACAAGAAAATTTACAGTAGGTGGGGATACAAAACACATAAAAATTTAATATAAATGATACTTGTATCAATAACCTGATAGCCAGTGTAAGTGAATATTAATTAGTATCAGAAGTCTTACTGCTGGAATAAATGTATACAACAACTAAGAAAAAATATATGTATAATTACCTTCTCGTTTTTCGTCACGACTCTTTTTACGTTCTGCCCACCAGTTTTGCCTTCTATTCTTCCTAGCTATGCCAGAAGGACTAGGAATCTGTAAATCAAAGATAATATTAAGTTAATAATTTTAAAATATACTGTGATCAATTTCAAGTGGAAGAATTAAACGATGTCAATTATAAAATTTGAGCAATTCAAGCTACACTGGTGAAAATATAACATGAATGTTTCATGAAAATTTATAACAATATTTTTTCAAAAGAAATCCTTAAATAATCCATGTCTTATATATATCTATAAATGTAAGCACCACAATTTGAGTTCTGATCTGGCATCGTATATTTCTTCTCCAGTTACATAACATTAAAAGCCTGATTGGATAAGCACTGGGAACAACCAGAATGTTATTATTTACAAACATGAACTTGACAATAATTAACTTATTCACTGTTAGGGCATCAGCCTGGAAGCTGGTGAAACATGTGATCTTGATACATAGTCATTCGCCTGCGTCCAGTATTATTATTATAAACTTAAGATTATGTCACAGTAACCAGATGAAAAATTTCCCAACATTTCTGCCTAGTAGTGAGTACCATCCTCGATATCCAGGGGTTCACTCACTTTCACTCTCAGCACCCCTTGAATATGTAATAGCAAAATTGAAGGCACAAAGATGGCTGTTTGATTGGTCTCGGGTAAAATAACCTGACCAATCGCTAGGCTGATACCTGTCCTTCAAAGGATCAAACTAGTCTTCTTGTCTGATCAACAAGGTGGCGCACACTGAGCCTTCAATTTTGCTATGACATATATATATATATTCCAGTGGTGTAGAGAGCGAAAGTGAACTTACCCCTGGAATTTGAGGATGGCTCAGTACCCATGAAACTTCCTGCAAAACAAATTTGTGAATACAGGAATAATCCTGGAGGGGGGCATATGCTATTGACCCCTTTATGTTCCAATTTTCTTTTAATTTTACATAGAATGACCCCTCTTAATTTTGATATTGACTAAAAATTGCTGAAATGGCCCACTGCTCTCAAATTCCAGGATTTCCCCTGAAATATAGTGCTCATTAGGGATAAACATACTTTGTTTTTTCGAGCATTTGCTTTTTCTTCATTTATGGTTATTTTTTATACATTAGACTCCATGATACATTCAATGATTCATCACAGATCAAATGACATGAAATTAATCAAATTATTGCAATATAAAACAATACATTCAAAAAATATTTGATCACTCAATTGTTTAGGTATTAAACTTTAAAGTTAGCTTTTGCTATGGAGTTTCATGCAGAGTGTGAATCTACTTCAGTGACTGCACTTTACAGAAAAAGAAGAGGAGTGTTTCTTTTAACAGAAAACCAAACTCTTTGTGTCTGTTTGTTTATTGCTGTTTAAGTGAATGTTTAATCAATACAAAAAAAAATATTCACTGCACTGTAGTTTCAAAACAATGGAGACAAATGTGTTTTTTGTTTTGAGGATTTTCTTACTATAAGTGTATGGGTTTGAAAAAAATCGATAGTAAACCGTCGGGGCACCTGAAGGACTCTTTGAAAGTAAATACAGTTGAGAAGTCAATGTAAATATTTCCGATGCAAATATTGAAGATTTTAATGCGGAATTTCACTCAAATTGATTCATTACATCTCAAACATACTACTTTACTTTTCTAAGTAAGCTCACGTGTAGACATTTAAATGTAAAACCCTACAAACCCCCTTTGGTGCCCCATTTACATTTTTTGAAAGGGTGGTATACGTGTGAAAGCACATGCCCTTGCATGGCGGCGTCTCATCGAAACACGATAACCAAAAATATTGATCTAAAGGTAAAAAATCCGGTATATGTCTTTAATAAACCCAAGAAATGCATACATTTACGTCTTTATTCGTCATTTTTTACGCAAGCCCAGCGTGACAAGCAGCATTTTCCTTGAGTTGAAGTCGAGTTCGAAATTCTGATTTTATACACGAAGTAAGAGTGGATTCTGAAAATCACTAAAGTAAACTTATTTTGAATAACACATCTATCAGGACTATGACATAAACATAGTAGTATTGTAGAGAAATCATTTGATTCCAGAAAAAATATAACTTACGCTCGCAGCTGGTTTATCCATTGCGCTTTGTGTGCTTCTGAACGCCGTTCGGAACACAGCGGATTTGAAGCTCGATTCAATGTCAAATCTAGAGAACTGCTGCAAATGTAACGCCACCTATTGGCTGTTACCAGCCATGCGTGAAATTTTAACTACTTTCGGTTCATGCATTACGACATTAGTAATAATTGGAGATCATATAAAAATCTCAGACATGTGGGAGTTACTCAAAGTTTTAAGCATGAGTTACAAAAAATATTTTTGGTTAAAATTATTGCAACAGACTGATAAAAACAAAGAAAATGCAGTTAGGCCTGTTATCGCTACCATCTTTGCATGGTTCTTTTTGTTATCTGAACTGGACAAGTTTGAATTGTTTCGCTTACTTGAGGCTATAATGTATGGCACGCCATCCTGTAAACAAATACATAAATTACTCGAGGTCAAAAGATTTGCCCTTTAAGTGAAATCTTATAGTCTTAGGGCAAATCATTTGACCTTATGTGTAAATTAGCTTCGATTACACATAATGGCAAAAAGTTTTGCCCTTAAGGTCAAATGATTTTCCATGAAGTATAAACATATTACAGGATGGCGTGCCATAATAATGACCATCGTAAATGTATTGTTTAATGAAATAATTTAAGAAACAGCAATATCGTAGGGCAATGACATGATCAACTGAACGACTTTTGGTAAAAACGATATTCTATTTGATAGAGAATTAAAACCGTTCATCTACAATTCAAGCAGAGGAGATATTTTGAGCAACACAAAAATATATTACCTATCAGGATCATAACCACATTAAAATTGTTGCATTGACTGAGTGGAAGCCCCAAAACTTGTCTATTCTATTTTTAAAACAGTTCGTATTTGTAGCAGAATCACAGATTCTGGTAGATTGTTCCATCTGCGTGCTGCTCTCACAGTGAAAGAGTTCCTTCTTACTGATGAGTTTTGATTTTTTTTTGAATTTCCTAGTTCACTGTGTGCATGTGTTTGATGGCAACATCTGACCATAAACACCACTGATCATCTTATATAATTCAATCTTGTCCCCACGCACACGCCTTTATGATAATAATGGTAGATTATGGAACACAATACAACTCCAGCACACACGCAGGCATACACACATAGGGAGATATTAGCCAGGTGGCATAGGACTAGTAGTTAGCGCCTGATAAGGCAGCTCCTGCGAATTCCTCAAAATTGTATTGATTAATATACATGCTAATTGTATTGACTGTAAAACATTGTATATCTATGTACTGTAAAGCGCTTTAGAGTGGCTTATGTTAGCTAGATAGGGGACTATATCAAATGTTGTATATTATTATTATTATTATTATTATTATTATTAAGACCTTAAAGTCCAGGTAAGCATCTAGTGGCTCGGCGTTGAACATTTTGAATTAAATCAATATGTTTGTATTTATTTGGATACCAGACTGCACTTGCATAATCAAATTTGCGACCGACAAAAAAAATGTATAAAGGTATTAATATATTTATGTCCATCAAATGAAAGGTTCTTCTTAGCATGTCACACATTGAGTTGGCTTTCTTCACTTTTTTCGCTTATGTGATTTTCAAAATTTAGGTCTCACTAGTTGTAGTTAGTAGTTCTGTATCATTAAGTTTATATGTGACACGATAACTCTCTATAGTGCATGTGTTTGCGCTTATCGTGGTGCATTTTCATAAGCCAATCCTCAATCCACTAGCACATGCTATCCAGGTCTCGTTGCAATATCTTTGAATCTTCATCCTTGCATGGTTATTACTTTAAAAACTTTAGTATCAATGAATAATTTAGGAAAACAGAAAAAAAGCTAGGTGGAGTATCTATGATTATAAAAAAATAATTTACTTCATTCAGAGACATATAAAGCCATAGTATGTATGTCTCTGGTCGCTTTAACATGGCTTTTAAAAACATAATTACAACTGACCACGTATGTACGTACGTGAATTCGGTGACTTCGTGTGTCAAAATAGTAAACGTACGAGTCACTGTGGTGTCAGGTATTAGATCAACGCTCACATAATGAATTGTTCGTTAACTTTTATCAATAATATTGCATGCAAAGAATATTACAAGCAAAGAAAAGGCAATGCCCCGGAATGGTGACAGTACCCATTGCCTTCCTCACCTTGAAGAACGTTCAACATTAACAAAACCAAAAGCGAGGTATTGCAAAGTGAGGTACAATCTTTCAGCTTTAAATCACAGTTACTAACCTCGTCTGTCAATCATATTATGGGTATATTGACAGACGAGGCTAGTACCTGTGTTTAAATTGGGAGTCGGCGCTATTATATAACTGAATTATGCAATAGTGTCGTACTGTTCAATGTTAGGTGATAAAAGATGTACACTGAACCTGGGCAATTAGGAAATGCATGGCCAGATAATGGTCAGATAATGACCAGACTTGACATTTGACGTAAAAAGTCCTGTGTGATCAAAAGGATAAATACACGACACAAGTGCGCGAATGTAGGAACTTTAGTGTTTTATTGATTACCAAATGATAACGATAGTGTAGCAGGTGTGTATTAAATTAAGTTGTTTCCGTATTATTTTATTCAAAGATTAAAACGGATACTTTTAACGACATGAGCCTAGCAGTGCTGTGTGAGCTTTAGATAAAACGGCATTTCACCGAGATACTGTTTTGCCAATCCTCGAAATTCCAGGGGTTACGCTACGTTATCTGCACTCTTGGAAAATGTAATAAAAAATTGAAGGCTCTTTACGAACCACCTTGTCGATAGGTCAAGATTTTCAAAAACAGATGCTTTTTCCAATAATAGCTTTTGATAAAACGTGATCTGAGATTTAGAACAGACTAATAAAAAATGAAATTCGTCCTCTACTTCAGAGGGGGAGTTACACTGTTTACAATATCTACGTTCTCTAGGTATATTATTATACCTTCCAACTTCTACAGCCAAAGAATGTGTAGATGGACGGATTCGAGTTAAACAAATGCGATATTTCATTGGTATATATACTTTGTGAGGTAAAATTGTAATGATTCTCCAAAATCAATGATATTTTTATGCAATAAACATTTTGGAGATTTTTCCACTGAGGCCCTTAGGAATTGTATGCCTTGATAAAAAATTCTTTGTTTTATCAATGGTAATAACACATTTTGCTGAGAAATACATGGATTATTTACCATCCATATTAATCCTGATACACCAAACATCACTAAAACATAGATTATTCAATTCATCTGTTACTGCTTTAGACCAGTTGAAATCATTTTTACTACAATATTTTAATAAAAATCTATAGGAAGTGGATATGATACAATTTTCAGAATTTAAGATCTTAAACCAATATTTCATCATTTTACTTTTCTCATCCAAACTAGAGGTAATCGTCCCAATTCAAGATATACCATGTTGTTATTGGCCGATTTCTTCACTTTTAGATTTTTTTTCACAAAAATGTAAATGTACATGTTCAATCTGCATACACCAAATTTCACTTGCATTTTTTTTTTTAATTTGTGAATATATTGTGATATAACATTCCCGCATAATGTTTAGCATTGTACCAGTCAATGTACGTTAGAAAATATAACAACAGATATTATATGTACAATTACCTTTTTTAAGCTATTATCGTTACTGTTGACACATGATAACAGGCACGGGATGTGATTGAAATTAAGAAAAGCAGAAGGCTGTGTGTGTATAGATTATGAATATTACTAACGCCGTCACGCGCAGGAAAATCACACACGCGATCTCAAGTAAACCCTTAGAATACATATTTCGTAAATTATACGTTGGTGTCCCTAATCCTATCCCTACCTCTTTTGCTGTAACCCCATCTTTAACTTTAAAATGTTCCAGGCTATTGGGTGACACATTAAGTTTGTGCATATATTTATTTGTTACGGAAAGGACGTAAGTAAGTTCAAATAATTTTGTCCAATCCATTTGTCCTTTGTCACAATAAAAATATTTAAACTAAACTACATATTTTATTTCACATTCGTCACCAAATCTGGCCGCTTTTCANTATTTGTACTCTCCCAAGGGAGAGTGGGCCGTTCCCGGAGGTACTGCAATACCGGGCCAACCCGTGGCAAGAGCGGAGCAAGCCCCTGACATCTCACCTAAGTCCAAAAATCAGTTTAATATCGAAGTACCCCGGTGGGGTACGTATCAGATATTAAGCTGATAAGAACAGATACTACACTTTGATCTTAGCCAAAAGGCCGAGAAGCGATACCAAATAAGATTTAGAAATACATTATAAAGTAATCATTAAACTTTCTAATACGGGTGAGATGTCGATTAGAATATAGCACAGTAAATGCTTCAAAACCCTGTAGTTCTTCATTACAATAGTAACCAGGTAAAAATATTGGATATCTCATTATATTATTGATAATGTTGCCAGCTTATTTTTTATATAAACAAGTATGATTTGCTATAATATGCGTTTCAGCGTCTACAGTTTCCATAATCTCTCCACTACTGACGTTATTGAGTTATCTCCCATGAACATGAACATAGAGGTGTGCTGCGGAGTTATTAGGTCATAGGAGTGTATTGATAAACGGAAGTAGGAAGTACATCCCTAGTTGAAAGTCCAATGTAGGGAGACAGTATAACAATTTCCGCATATTCTAATGTTTAATAATAAACTGATGAATTTTGTATGTTTATTATTGACAGAATAGTGTGTTCTCTCAATATTAAAGTATTTCAAAGCAATCCAGGCATTAATTCAGTTATTTTTTATCAATGAGTCAAATGTGTCCATTTTTCTGTACTTCATGAAACCGGTTACCTATTTCACTACTGTGAAGTTTTTCAAGAAATATAACTCTTCCATGCAATTACTATGTGTATATGGTTTTATTATAAAGCGTCAATTTTTGTTCGTTTATAGATAATTTATTTTACACAATTTCAGCGTTTATTAAATTGATATACATTAATGCAATACTAATCTATGGAAGTATAAAATTTATAGACATCATTTTGCAAAGAATTGTGTCTTTCGGGTTTTTTTCAAAATTCACTCCTTTTTACA